TCAGCAGAATGGAGGGGGCTCCTCCCCCCCAAAAGTGGGGAAATTGTAAGAGTGTATGTGTGTGTGTGTGTGTGTGTGCGAGTGCTGAAAGCATATAAACGACCTTCAGCCTTCAGCAACGGAAGCAGCGGGAGCTCTGGCGCTGTGTTTGTGCTTCAATTATGCCAAAAATGCGCACTGACACGTAAAAATAATGCATACTTGAAGGCGCGCCACCAAACCGCACACTACAACAAACACACACACACACAGACGAGCAGAGTGAGTGACGGGGAGAGGCAGGGCAGTGCAGGGCGACAGAGTTGACAATGCCCGAGGAGAGGCTTGGCAGATGAACGGACGAACGGACGGCTGAGCAACCATGACAATGCATATAACATTTTAATTTCCTGCTTATTAGCCGGACCACGCCCGCAAAAGGCAAACTAAGGCACGCCCCCCCCCCCTCTTACCACACCTCCTCACCTTACCACACCACACCACACCATCCACTCACACTCCTACTCCCGTTCCCATTCCACACCACACACGCAAACAACGAACGCCCGCAGCAACCACAACCACACAGTAGGGGTTAAAGGAAGTGCAGGGGAAGACCTGCAGGAAGACCTAGAGGTACACAAGTTTCGACTCGGAGATTACCTATCTCTGAAATGCTGGCAAAGAGAGAGTGAGGGAGCAACAAATAAAGGGACACAAAGAGGCTATTCATGAGCTCTACAATATCTCCCCGATTACCAAACTAGCATAACAAGAGAATCTATGATAGAATATAGATAAAATGTAGGTATAATACGAGTATGCAGAACGACTTCATGATAATATGTATTCGTAATTCCATTTTGGTAAGACGCGAAATGCTACGCTGAATCAATGAATCAATCTGAGACATCTGAGGCTAAGAGGATTCTACTGCTGCGGATTCGTGAATTCTTGACATTTATTGACAGTTTTACGAAGCTCTTAACAAATAAACTCTTTCTGAAGGCGGCATTTTGGTTCTTGAATACAAAAAGTAAGAACCTCACAGCTTAAGAAATATATATGCAAAATTTAACTAAATTGTTGGCGCAGATAGATATTTAAAAAAATACTATAAAGTTTTCTCCCACATACTCATACGAGCAGAGTAACGGATGGGATGTGTACTGTCTCCCATTCCATGATTACGACATAAACTATACGTAGTTCTATGTAGTTACATATATTGATAAAAAGAATCATGTTAATCCGAAAAAGTGCAGTTCCTGATGGAAAGAGAGAACAAAAGCCTCCCGCCACACCCGCGCACAGAAATCTCACAGCTTTCAACATATGGAACACCCTACTGTGAAGGATTATAAGTACACCTTGGAACTGCAGAAGTGGTGCAGAGGAGGGGGCGGCAGTGCACGGGAATAACATAATGAAAGCAGAGGAAAAGAGTGTATTTATGCAAGGTGAGGCTTTCCTGGAGAACACTCTCACAAACGTTGGCCAAGTTGTTTCAGTGGCGTCTGTGTGGGTGGCACAAAGGACGGTAAAGAAAGAGAGCGAGTGGAAACTGGGGAGAACCGGAATGCTTCACCTCGTATTACTACACTTTGCGGCAGAACTTAATCTGAAAAGTAAAGTAAAATAAAGCAAAGTAGAGCATTTAAAGCAGAGGAAAAGGCAGTGGCAGCGGCAGTGGCAGCGGCTTAAAGCAGCGGCAGAGCAAGGGAAGCGGCTTAAGACAGTGGCAGTGGCAGCGGCAGCGCCATGGCAACAGAGCTGCCAGCGAAACGAATCTACCCCGTGACCCAAGCGAGTAACGGGATATGCGAAGATGCAATGGCAAAGATACAAGAAGAGGCTGACAGAGCGAACGCTCTATATATGCACACACGTGAATGTGTGTGTGTTTTTTGTGCACGGTCATGTGCACATGTGTGTGTGTGTGTGTGTGTGTGTGTGTGGGATGCGTTTTGTTTGTCATGAGCGGTTGGCATCTAGCCTACTACCCCACCCTTTAACATCCCCCCATCCCCACCCCAGCCAGTTTTTCATTACACTCTCTGTCCAATGCAGCAAGCGAAATTTTTTGGATGCGCCTCACCGCGCCGCGCATTTCTTGCCAAGAGGCGGCTCGGCTTCTTCTACTTTACCCGCACACACACACACACACACACAATGCACACACGATATAAATCACCAGAACACACACACACACACTCAGGCTGTCAGTGGGGCGTCGTGGCTAGAGCGGCTGAGTAAGTGGAACGGGAGAAGAGGAGAGGAACCAAAATGTGCTGAGCAAGTCTCTGCTCTTGGCCCCCACTCGTCTACGGCCCTGTCAACTCTGGATAAGACTAACTGCCGCTGCCTGCTGGTGCTCCCGCTCCCCCCGCACTCCTTTGCGGTGGTTATAACCCCTCATGGGTCCAGCCTGGCATTGAAAATGTTGATAATTGAATTTACACGTGAATGATCACAATCTTGAAGCCTTTACTAGATTCTACCCCCAGTCGCAGCCCCTGCCCATAACACCCACCCCCCTCCAACACACACACACACATCAAAAGAGCAGAGCCAGGAGATGAGGCGAAGGAGAGTGAGATTGCATCAGTGCAATTTGGCAGAGGCCAAAGCGAAAAGCCAGAGCCAAAAGCAGCCAAACCATGTCCCGCACCGCTGCCACAGGCCCAAGTAATTATGATCGTAAATTGATTAAGCAACGAGGAGCAGCAGCCAAAGAGAGAGCAGCCAACGCCAACAGTGGTACGGAGCGCATAACGAACGAACAACGGGGTTAATGGAATTACAGTTATGCAAGCGCTGTACTGCCCGTCCTCCTGTTCTCGTTCTCCCACAGACGCAGCTGCACAGTTCCTGAAAGAGATTTGCATATTCTTTCGATTTCGTGGATCAGCTCAAAAACCAGACCAAGATAGAGAGAGATGGGAAAGAGTTACAAAGCCCACAAAAGGAAACAAATTTTATTAAAATATTTTTTTGCACGCGTTTGAATATGTATACATATGTACATATGTACAAAGTATTGTGCTTCGCTCCTCAATTATATAATTTTTATGCGTTCAAGTGACTAAGCGATCCACTCTAGATGCTTAGGCACTTACTTGGCTGCTGTCTTCATAGCGCTGTTTGCTGACGATTCGCCAATTCATAATACCCTGTTCGCCAAAGCTGTTGCTTAAAGCGCTTCTTATCAAGACAAACAGAACTGGGTCATTCCACCAACTGAAACTGAATAAGTACTCTAAGAACAATCAATTAGAAAGGGTAAAAAAATCACACCCCACTGCTCTGATCACTGCCATCAATCAGACAGAGATGGCCATGCATGTAAGTGTGCGCATGCCGCACTCTTCCAGCCGATACGATCCGCTATGCGGAAGCACACTTGACGGAACGGAATGCTCATTTCATATCAAATTAATTTGCCTAAAATGTAGAGCACAAATCTCGACTGCAGCACAGACAACAACAACAACAAGAACAGGAACAGGAAGAAGAATGAGAAGGAGAAATAGCGGCAGCGCCAGCGCCAGCAAATGATGAAGAGGAATGTAATGAAGGAGCAGTTACAAACACAACAACAACAACAACAGTAGCAGCAGCAGCGGCAGTAAAAGAAGAAGACATGTGAGATTGATGACACAATCAAACAGGTATGAGGGATAGAATCACATACATAAAAGCAGGCAAGAGTTGAATGTGCAAGCGAGATGGCCATAGCCGCGATGCAGTTGTTATGCGGCGCTGTGGAGTGCGGGGCACAGGGCCGTGCCAAATGGAAAATGGATTTCACTATTAATTTCGCTGACGACGACGACTAGGACGAGGCCGACGACAAGGACGGAGAGCACGTTGACGACATCAAAAGCGAAGCATCCGACTTGACAGCCAGGATGCAGATGCAGATGAGGACGCTGCCGTTGCCGTTGCCGTTGCCATTGCTGCTGCTGCTGCTGCTGCTCCTGCTCCTGTGGTCTACTATGTCTGCAATGCGCCGGACCCGCTTCCTAACCATGTCAGCTATGCTCATAGCCCATGCCATGCCCGGGCTTTGCTTTTCCCCTCCATTTCTTTCCATTCCTTGCCTTTCGCTTTTATGGCGCGCGGCCCACAGCCAGCGCATCGCAGAGCAGAGCAGGCACACCTATTTTCAAAAGGGATTTCCAGCTTTTGCGGTAAAATGAAACAAAACACACAAAAAAAAAAGAGAGAAAAAAAGAAAACTAACGGCAACTTGGCTCTTTGTTATTTGGGCGTTTTGCAAGTTTTATTTTTTATTTTTTGTTGGCTCTTTTGGGTTTGCCGTCGTCGTCGTCGTCATACAAAATAAATGGAATATCTTCGTGCCATGCTCCGCTTCTAGCCCCCCACCATCTACAACCAGCTTCTCTGGCTCTGTCGCCAATCCACATCCAGGGTTTCACTTCCACTGCTTCTACTTCTTCTATCCGTCATGCCGTAGTTGGCGCCATGAGCTTTTTATACCCTATTCTTGTGGGTAATACATACACATAACCTAACCCAAGAAAGCATCTCTAATTTTATGAATTATACCAGTACATATTTATGTATGTATGTACACATATTGATATACCCTTGTCCTTCTATTCAAAAGTATACGAGCATATGCGATCCCAAGTCAGGACCTCAAGACCCATTTTTAGTCTACAGGAAACCCGATATGGCCGCGTCACCATATCATTTTATCTGACATTGGTCCGACAAATGAGCATTTGGCTAGTCTTATATAATTTTCTTTCAGCATTTAAATACTGTTATATAATGCAAAAACAAAGTGACTGTTAGCACTTTATTATTTGTCTGTAATATGCCCACGACATCAGATATTGTAATTTATATGGCTGCTATTGCTCGTAAAACAAGGCTGTACGGAAAATGGCATTGTTTAAGATTATATTCAAATCGCGTTTACATATATTTGATCCAATTCCATACCATCCATACCATATGATACCATATAGATATCCTGCAAGGGTATTTAAGTTCTCGACCCCCGAAATTATCTTTATTTTCTTGCTATTTTTTGTAAAGTGCATAAAGAGGGAATGGAGGAAAATTGCAACTTATGCTAAATATTTGCACCAGGGGGGTTCGCTCCCAGGAGATGCCTTTGCGGCCAGGAGCTGGAACAACCATGCACATGCATAAATAAACTATGACACGGGGGACAAATTGAAATTAACATAATAAGCAAACAATGGACAAATCATTTTTTGTTTTTAAGTTTCGGTTCCTTTCCATTTTAATGCGGTGCCAAAACTTGTATAATTGGATTCAGCCCTGGCGGGACTTCTTGCGCACTAGATAGCGGGCCAGGGCCGCCTCGAAGACCTCGCCCACGGTCCGCTTGCGCCAGATGAGAGTACGGTCGACGGTCGGCTTGGTTACGGTGGGAATGGGCAGTTTCTTCAAATCAGTATCCTTCTTATCCCCATCGTCATCCTTTGATTTGGATTTAGGATCTGCAGTAGCTTCCTTGCTGGTATCTTCGGGCTTCTCTGGATGCTCCATATTCCGCTTCTTAGCTGGGTCTTGACTCTTAGACTGGTCGGACTTTGTTTCCTGGTCCTTGCCCAGCTTAGTCTTAGTCTGCTTCTGCTTCTTGGCCTGCGCCTGCTTCATATTCTTTTCCTTCTCATCCTCCACCTCATCTTCGCTGGAATCATCGATGCTGAAGTCAGAGTCCGCGTCTATGTTGTTGTTCAAGTGCGTCTGCGAGTTTGTTGCACCGCCTGGTTTGTGTTCAGACGGTTCTGGAATTATGGTCGGCTTAGCAGGCGATGCGGACGGCTGATGCTCCTCATCCTCAGAGGCTAGGCGCTTTCTGTAGCTGCGGTGCTTTGATACATCCGCTTTGATGGGCTTGTAGGCCACTTCCTCGGTGGATGGTGCTGTCTTCGGTTTGACCACCGTCTCTTTGGTGCCCAGTTTTTGCTCGTACAAATGTCTGTAGAAGCCGTCTAGGTCCTTTTGCTTGGTCACATCTCCAATGGCCTCGAGGTAGTCGGCCCGCTGCTCTTTTTCTTGGAGCTCGCGCATGGACTCAAGCCTTTTGCGATACGCTGCTGTCACATAGGTGTCCTTGTCTTTGTACATTTCGCCCTCAGCTTCGCGGTCCTTCTGTACTTGCCGCTCGACACGCAGCTCCTTCTCCAGCTTCCGCCGCTCGGCGTGCTCCATGAGGCGGTTGATGTACTTGGCCTTCCGGGGCTCCTGGCTTTTGATCTGCTTTTCCTCGTCGCGTTTGTTCTCCATTTCGTCGTAGAGCTCGTCGTACTGGAATATGGTGGGATCCTCGGCCAGGGCCTTTTCCTGCATGCGGCGTGCCACCCGACGCTCCATTACACTGGGCCCACCGGTCACGCTAGCCTTGGGGCGCATTTGTGGGGCATTCTTGTCACTGTCGCCGGAGTCGCTGCTCTCGTCGAATACGGACGGTTTGATTGTCGGCTTGGCCGGCCTGGCAGCCTCCTTCTTGTGCTGCCCCGGTATTATTAGGCCATACCTGATGTCATGATTCACACATTAATAGACAATTACTGAATATATTTTGTACAATACTTACGGTTTTGACATTTCTTTTGTTTGTTTATTTTACCGCAGACTTATTGATAAAATATACCGTCTGACCCTAAGGAATATACAAAAATATACTGTAAATATACCGATCAAATACAATGTTTATATTTTTGCAGTGTGACCGCTAACAGATTTGGGCGAAAACGGCAAATTTTGCGTGGCAGCAGCAGTAGCAACTCTGGGTCCTCCAAAGCAACCCTGATAGCTGTCAAATGTCAGATGCGGCTGGCCTGACTTCCTCTTTCTCTTTTCCGATACGTTCGCGGTCGTGTAAATTTGTGTTTGCAAATCAATCCTAGGTAATCGCCGTCAAATATAATAAATTTGTTAAAGAAAAGCCAAAAAATGGCTAGCCAAATGTGTCTACTATGGCTTACACCATAGATTTAGTGCGAGCGCGGTGCAAAATATGTGACAAATCTTATTCTTTTTATATTTTTTTATTGTGATCCAAAATGAATCCAAATACTTGTTGGCCGAGAGTGGTTACGCCGAACACTGCCCGCTTGGGCCAATGTATAAACAAGACATTGTTCATCAATGAACGAATCCCAACAATATATATTTTTTTGCCAATTTTTTTCTGTGCGGCGACATTTTTGGTCTGTGATTCCTGCCCGGAGAGGGAGATGTCAGCTGTGTGTGTGGCTGCTGTTGTCGCTGGTGGTTGTGTGGAGTGGTCTGTAAGGCTTTGGGCCGCTGCAGCGGGCTTGAGATGAGAGCATCCGAGGCAATGTCCGAGGGAATTTCTAAGCCGGCAAATGGATGGTGGCTCTTCTCTATTCTGCCCCTCAAAGTCTGTCTCTGATAGCTGTTGATGTTTACACTATGTAACACAAATACCCAGACAGAGAAACGCACACAACCACACGTAGGAATACGCACACATACACATACACAGGCAAATGGCGGCCGCCCTGGAGTTTTTTCATGTATTTTGCACGTGCTAGGTTTTATGCAGTTTATTTTTTTTATTGTTCTGCGAGAGCTGTGAACTAATTTGTCTCGTTTTCACATTTACAGCCATGGTGCGTATGAACGTATTGGCCGATGCCCTTAAATGCATCAACAACGCCGAGAAGCGTGGCAAGCGCCAGGTGCTGCTGCGTCCCTGCTCAAAGGTGATCATCAAGTTCCTGACTGTGATGATGAAGCATGGCTATATCGGCGAGTTCGAGATCGTCGATGACCATCGGTCTGGCAAGATTGTGGTGAACCTTACAGGACGCCTCAACAAATGTGGCGTCATCTCACCACGGTTCGATGTGCCCATCAATGACATTGAGAAGTGGACCAACAATCTGCTGCCGTCCCGTCAGTTCGGCTACGTCGTTTTGACCACCTCGGGCGGTATCATGGATCACGAGGAGGCCAGGAGAAAACATCTGGGAGGCAAGATCCTCGGCTTCTTCTTCTAAGCGAAGGAACCGGCGTCTACAACCTAATGCTAAAGCGTATGTGTGGGAGTTAATATGTAGAATGTTGTTTTATTTCACACGAGCCCAGGGCCGAAGAGAATTTCATTCAAGCATAAAGTAGTAGCAGCAAAACTGAATGTTCACAAAGTTAACGCGAAATAAAATGATTTGATACATATTAATATTAATCAAGATTTTTTTATATAATTGTACATGTAACATGTAAGCCGAAAAGATGAATGAAAATAATAGTAAATCAATCTGACAACGTGAAACCAAGCCTCTGTGTGTGTATAATTGGAGTGGCACCAGCACCAGTCCACTAACTGAAGCATTCGGTGCCAAGTGGATGGAGTTTGAAACGCGTTACATGGATCTGTAGACCATTTAGAAAACACCAGCAAGAGCTCGAAGAACCTTGGCTTATTTGTGATTCAGTCCAGGCCCTGCTTGCATAAACGTGCTCGACTTTAGTTTGTGAGTGCCAGTGAATCGGTGTAGAACCACTATGTATTCCGTACCTTCAGGAAGACACCAAAGTGTTGTGGATCAGAAGTGCTGGCAGGATGCCACATTGTTCTGGAACGAAAGAGAGGCACGGCACAACGCACTGTGTAACAGGGCCTGCAAAGATAGCCCCAATGTGTGGAAACGGTAATGAAGTGCAACCAGTTTCGTATTTGCCTCTTTGGAGTCGCTCAAATAGTGGAAAAACGTGAAAGAAACCTCTGAGGAGTCGAGTTTGCCTTTAGAATCGCTTAAGAAAATTCAAAACAATAGCTATAGTCTATCGGTAGTTACGAGTATCTATTAGATACGCGCTCGCTGTTTAATTACCAAGAATCAAAACAAACTGCACAAGTAAACATATTGGCGGGAAACAATTTGTTGCAGCCCTCGCAAAAAATAAAACCGAAAACGGTCACACCATACATACATATGTGTTGCATACCGATCATTTCTGGCACTTATCGAAAATGGATCAGCTGTTGATTGGCCCTGCCAACTGCTTGCAGCTTTCCAGCTGGCCCGCCCAATTGTTGTTGGATTTCAAATATGTAACCATTTGATGAGCAATCTAAATGCAACAAACAAATTATACCTCATTATCTCTTCCATTAGCTGCTACGAAGTTGTGCTCGTACGAAATGGCTCTTGCTCAAATTATAGTTTATAAGTGTGTAAAGAAGCTCAACAAAGCAATTTTCCATCATAATCTTTCCAATTATCAAGCGCATCAAAATTAAATTCTGATTGTATGCAATCAATTGAAAAAACTTTGCTAAATAATTAATAATTTCGACTGGCAATCGAATTTCTAAGCAAAATACCCATTAAATTTGATTTTTTAATGTGCAATTTCATCGAAATTGCAACGAAGCCAATTCCGAATCGACCGTTGACCTCTAATTGACCGCTGCTTGAAATTGATTTTAGTTTTTTACGCACTCCTCGGCCAAATACCTGTTAAATGTGAATTAATAATGTCGACAATCAATCGAAACTGCAACGAAAACATTTCCGACTATTATCTATCCTGATAATTGTCGGTTGTTTCAAACAGCCCCATGCCCAAATGATGGGGGGGTGGTGGCTGACATGAGTCCGGAAAATGTTCCAATTCAATTGCAATAAATACGTATCAGCTATGGGACGAAGTAATAACCATCGACCTACTCGTTGCGTGCGGGGTCCCAGGACAAAGATAATTGATGAGCCAATCTGTCGATATCTACGGCTGGGCGTACAAACCATGCAACCCCCCACGCATATCTGGCCATCGGCGGCTATTGAAGGGTCATACGCAGCTGCGGACTTATTCATTTCATTTTTGATTACCGCATACCAATACTTGTATGACTGCGTACATGGGTATTATCAATGAGTATTACCCATTTTTTTCCACACGACCCAACCCTTGAGGCATGGCTAAAATGGTTGCCCAGCACCAGAGCCAACGATAATCATTTGATTCTTTCTTTATCAGTCCATAAAATAATCAAATTACGCGACAGACCAGACAGCACACTATATGTATTATACTGGTATATGTATGTATGTACCTTCCGGGTGCGATTGTGGATTTCAATGTCATGCGATTTGGAGCCGAGTCCGAGTCCTGCTTCTCATTATATTAAATGCGTTTTTTTCACGTGCATCGATATACAGATACATATGTGGGTCGCTCTCTCGTTCGATCGCCCCAAAGCCACAGCGTTCAATCACTACAATTGAAAGTCATTCAAACCCAACGCCCTCAATTTGGCTCAGACGGGGATTATTCCACTTTTTTACACTGGTTCAGGTTCTGTGTTCAGAAAATGTTTCTTTCCAGTAAACGCTTTGGTCTCACAGCTTTCTTGGCAGTGATTCAGCAAAAGCAAAATAGCATTTGTAATTTTTCCCTTTTTTTTTTTTTTTTTTGCAGCTGTTGAGACGCTTATGAATATGAATAGCTTTTTTTCTGTGATTGTTGGCTAACATGTTCAGGTAAAACCAAAATGGGAAAGGGAATACCTGGAACGCCGAAGCTGGGATGCTCTTGGGCTAAGCTTGAGAGCGAAAGACGCTTCACAGTTGTTATAATAATGTTTATGCTCTTTTTGTTTGTCTTTTTTATGAACTAATATTACTAATAGCTTGTCCACAGCTGTGTGTATAGTAGTTGTACAGTTGTTAACATGCGAGCAAACATTTTTCTCGACTGATAATAACCAACGGAATGACATAGCAAGTATACCCACTCCCCATAGATAAAGTTAGAACGCCTGCAATCGTACCATTCGAAAGGGGAACCCTTTCTGCTCTGTTTTCTGGTAGCTTCTATGGGCGACACGGTAACAGCGCTGCTCAAGATTTTTCCACGACTCGCAGCTGGTTGTACGTATGTATGTATTATACTGGTATACGCATACAAACATATGTACGGGTGAAGAAGCACATTTGTGTAAACTAGTTTGGCCAAAGAGTAACCGAGTCAGACTGACAGGCAGATCGTGTGATGCGCTGCAACACACGTAATGGGTGGACTTCTATGAAAGGCAGGAGGGGGGCTCGACACGGAGCGGATCGCAAGCACAACATCTCACTCTATCCATTAATTTCGCACACACACACACAAAGTGCCCCGCCGAGATCTGCTTAATATGCACGACATCCACGTCACCAGTCGCTTGCACTTAACATTGAAAAGGAAAACGGGAATGCGTTGGCGAAAGGGGAAGTGCAGCGTAACCTACTGGCTGGCATTGTCACTGTGTCATGCATCAGCTGCTGCTGCCGGCTGCAACTGCGCTGCTTGCTCTGTGGACCTGTGACGTTGGGTTCCGGCATTCTTAGCATACTAATACTCCGTATAATCACCGGCGATTGCGAAATACGGTCTCTGTCTGGCACATGCGATAAAAGTCAGCGCCGCATGCAGATAAGCAGTGCGCGAAGGTCCGCCTGTTGCCTCCCCCGATAAAGACCCACGTGTCCGTCTTAGCATTCAATACAGTTTTATTGAGGCAACATTACAAATTAAGAGCAAACTCAAATAAATCACTTTCTGCTTAGGTTATGTGTGTGTGTGTTGGTGTTGTGTGCAATGCAGAGGGAGAAAGAACCAATTTTTTCACAGTTTCTGTTCACAAATCATAATAATATGCATATACTCGTAGATAGATGACGAACTAGCTCTAGTTATAGGGTTTATTATATGTATATTTAGGGTATTCAAATGTGCGTGTGTCTATGCAATGCGATTCGGCCTGGACTCGCCAGGGCCACAGCAAAGCACCGCACAGGCCCAGCCCCACAGATGATTAGCTTCTTAGGAGGTGGTGGCAAAGTACTCCTTGGACTTGGTGGGGTCGGCCACCATTGTCTTCTGGCCGGGCTTCCAGTTGGCTGGGCACACCTCTCCGTACTTGTCTGTATACTGGAAGGCCTGGACGAGGCGCAGAGTCTCCTCAACGCTGCGGCCAACGGGAAGATCGTTGATGGTGATTTGGCGCAAGTTCTGCTTCTCGTCGATGATGAAGAGGCCACGGAAGGGAATGCCGGTCTCCTCATCCAGAACGCCATAGTCGCGGGCCACCTTCATCGACTTGTCGGCCAGCAGCGGTATGTCCATGCTGCCCAGACCGCCCTGCTTGCGGGCGGTGTTGATCCAGGCCAGATGGGTGAACTGGCTGTCCGTGGAGCAGCCAATCAACTCGCAGTTGATCTTGCGGAACTCGGCAGCACTCTCCGAGAAGGCAATGATCTCCGTGGGGCACACAAAGGTGAAGTCCAGCGGATAGAAGAACAGCACCAGGTACTTTCCCTTGTAGTCGCTCAGTTTGATGTCCTTGAACACGCCATTGACCACGGCGGTGCCGGCGAACTGGGGTGCGGGCTTCTGCAGTTGGGGCATCTATTGGGGAAAGAGAAAGGGATTTTATTTATGTAATAAGTAAAAGCTAAGCTCAAAGTCACAAGATGGCGGCTGTCTAGCCATCGTGCGGCGGCGGTTCGTACTGGAAAAAGCACCTACATGCATACATATGTACATATCTACATATGTATGCATGTAATTTTAATGGAGGTGGCCAAATATTTGCACCAATTGAACTTTGGGCACGTTTTAGTGCGGATGTGTGGGTTTAATTACAGAAATCGGAACTATTTTCCGCATTTTGCGCATATTTTAACCCTATTTCGTGTTCTTTTTTGATTACATTTCTCTATAGCCGGCACACACTACGAGTGTGTGTGTGTGTGTGTGTGGTGTGTATGTGCGTGCCTGTGTGGCTGTGTGAGGCTGCGTCTGCCCTGTGTGTGTGCTTGTGGTGGTGCTCTTGAACGAGGGACGACGTGCCAATAAAGCACAATGTGAAAGAAGAGACTACAAATAATGTTCGGTGCGCAACAAAACTTGTGAAATAATCTGCGACTCAAAGTCATCATCACTATCATAATTATCAGCACACCCAGCAACAATAAACAACTACAGCAATGGTAATCATGATTGGTCTTACACTCCACAGTAATTTCTCTTTGACTTTGTTTAGTACTTGCGAAATATTCATTGTCCGAGACGAGACTCACTTTAACCTGTTGGATATAGAATGTAATTGCTTGACTTCCGCTTGGGATGACTCGGGTCGATCTCAGATGTCGTCGAAAATAACACAACCTTTCGGCACGGTAAAAAAATCGCGAATGAAGCGAGATATAGCCAGTCAACATAGAAAAAACAAAATTTTCCCGGGCAGGGCAGAAAAACCAGGGCGGCGATCAAACGAGACTTAGCCCACTTAACACCTCTTTATTTAAAATGTCGAGCACCCTTTATTAAACCGCGGAAAATAATACTTTTTGATTAGGATCCTTGTAGCTCCATCCTCCTCTTTACTTACAAATCAAAAATGACCACCAACGTGTTTCACCTGTAATCCGTAAAATATGTTAAAGTTATATATATTTCGTGGAAATATTAAATACCCACTGGTCGACAATGGGTTAACGTTCTATTGTATTGATTGAAATCGTATTCCATGATTTTGATATTCAGTTTAATATTACTATATAGATGGCCCTCTCAGCACTAAAAAAATAATTTTATCCAATTCCTCAATGAATTTTGTTTAGGATTGGTTAGTTTTAAGAAGTCCTTTTTATTGGATTATTTACATATTCAGGTTCAAACAAAAACAACATAAAACGAATGTGTCGTCGTTTTGTGGCGTTACCAGACTCCTGCAATTCGTAGTAGCTGCGGGCTGCCATACCGTGATATTTTGTGATATGAAATTCGTCAATTTTGATATTCAGTTTAATATTACTAGATAGTTGGCCCTCTCAGCCGTAAACAAATAATTTTATCCGATATATACATACATTTTGTTCAGGATTGGTTAGTTTTTAGAACTCTTTTTCATTGGATTGTTTACATATTAAGGTTCAAACAAAAGTGGCCAAAGCATAAAACGTAAATGTTGATAAAATGTGACGTCAGTGTTGTTGGTCAACCAAGTTTCTTTTATGCGTATGAACTTTTGTATACCTTATTTCTTTTAATTGATGCTAATTTTGTTGATCCAAGCTTCATTGAAACATTATTTATGATTTTATCCTAGATTGACATGTTTTTTACCTATTAATGTATATGTTTGTGTTTTATGTATACATTTATCCCAGTTCTGATACCTATTATTGGAACCCGTGAGCTGCAAAACTTTGTTAAAATCTTTAGAACAGAGACTGAGTAGTTTTTGCATTAATTGGAGCCTGAAATTACAAACAATATCAGCACACAAGTCCATAATATCCATTTTCCCAAGGTATGCAGATTGTTGCTTATTCCGTGCCAAAGTTGCACAACAATGCTGATACTTCATTTCCCCATGCTGCTGAAATTTTTCCCATACAAATCAAATGTATCTTACGGGAACGCGTATGGAATGACGCAACAATGAATCTACGTTCAAAATAATCAGCTCCAACCAATGAAAAAGGTTGAAATTTAGGTACAGTTTCAGTATTTATTGGTAAAAGGGAATTTATTTTCTTTCATACGTGCGTGCGTCAAAAATTTGCCCTAAATAGGATGCCTTTTAGCCTGGAGAATGTCAACAGCTACAAGCTGGAGAGATTCGGAGAATTTCCTCCCTCCACGGACTATTTTTTTTTACTATTATTTTAAGCTTGCTTAGGTTTTACATGTATTTGATAAGCAATTGTTTGGTTAAAAAATGAGCCACTCTCCGCGCTTGGATCTGAGAGTACATAGCTGCATGACTTCAGTTTGGAAAAACGCATGTGGAATGGCCTGTTTCATGATGATAGCCCTATGGGGCCCAGCTCATTTGAACTATTGCCATATAGTCTGGCGTTGGAGTATTGATCAAAACTGTGTATGTAGGCATACTTAAGAATACATAGCATTCATATTAAAGTTTGAAAATGCCTTTATACAGGATGTTTTATCAGGATATTGACCTGAAACACTCACAAAAGCTCGCTAGGAATTGGGTTTAATCGGAAACGACTTTTTGAAATGTTCAGCGTAGTCAACGGATCTTAATTTAATCGAAATCTTATGGGGGAATACCAAATACATTGTTGCAACTGCAAATCTGTCAACCAGAGCAAAGTGTTTAGCAAGTTGTTCAAGGATTATTGGCTCAAATCCTATTGAAGCGTTGGCAAGAGATTAATGACCCATGTACGGCCGGTGCAAGTTCGCAATGAAAACCAAATTGATGAAAAACTAAATATTAAAGCTCAAGAAACATGAAGAACATGAAAGATATGTTTTCATTTCAGTTTCGTTGTGTTTTTTTCAATTTTCTAAAAAAAACACTAATATTGCATTGAACAGCATATTTTATGGGTATTCGGCTTATGTCATGTAAAACAAGAAGATGGAATTCAAATGTATGGATATTTGTTCGGTTTTCTAATGCTAACATTCCAGTCTATTAAAAGAGGTATCATTTGTTCAATTCGGATGACTGGAAGTGTCTCAAAAAGAGTTTTGAAAGTGATGATATTTCATTGAACACAACCGTACGTGGCGCCTAAAATTTACATTTGCATTCACCAAACCATTGAAAGACACACCTATCGAAGTTTCGGTTTCGAACTGTATTTAATAGTGCACAATTAGTATGTATTTAGTAGGTTATCGCATTAACGTTATATTAATAACAATAAAACTAAACTGCTTTTAACATTTAACATTATGATTACATATAGTATTATTGTTGTTGATTTGTTTGATTTCGCTACAGTTATTCGTGGTTCGAGGGGGTGTGCCATGCCGCGGCCTAGAATGTGAATCTTGCATAAATAAATTACTCTACCAAGCAGCAAGGCCAAGGTCTTGGTCAGCAGCAGCAGCAGCTGCAGAACAAATCAGCTATGGAGACATACAACTTTGTATATATGTATATGTATATATCGTATAGGTATATTCTGTTTCAGTCTTTTTCTTTAAATTTAACGGGTTAAATGTATGTAGTTTATATAGAAAAAAAAACAAAAAAAAAACTTGTAGTAGTCGTAGAAGATAACTCTATTTGCTAGCCTAAACTTGGGTTTTTGGGGGAATATTCAATCGTGTTTTGTGCAACTCAGATTGCATTTGCCTCAGGGGCTCAGCCCCGTCACCTGCCGCCAACGAATGGGGGGGCGGTTCACTCCTCGGCAGCGGCTCCTCCCGCGGCACCATCCTCCCCAGCAGCAGAATCGTCATTGGTGGATGGTTCTGCGTCCTTCTCCAGGGCCGCCTGCAGCTCGACAAATATGTCAATGAGATTGTTGATGCCAATCAGGTAGCCATCCTCATGGTTGCCCACCTTCCACGCCGAATAGTGATCGATGTGCAGCTCGGGGGGCAGCGCCATCGTCTTGGCAAAGTCGATCAGCCAGATGCTGGCATGGGAATGGTCGTGGACAAATAGCAGCGAGCTACCGATCACCTCGTGCGTCTGGAAGAACTCGGACACGGCCAGAGTGGCGCGGATGGCGCGCAGTCGCTGAATATAACGCGGCTGTTGAGGTGATAATCAGATATAATCAGTGGATCGGTGGATCGGTGGATCGGTGGATCGGTGGCCGATTTGCCATTGGATTATACCTACCAGAATCTGGGTATGACCACTGAGGAACTCCATGAAGGCCAGTTTGATTTGTTCGCGTGACTTGGTCGTCTTGAAATCTTTGGAACTGGTGCCATCGCTCTTCTTGATGCCCTACGCAAGTGAGACGGAGAAAGAGAACGATCAGTTTTATGCAAAGTTACATCCACATATCTAAAAGCAGCATCTTGTCATGCACACGAAATGCATTTAGTTTTTGCATTCTCCGGCATTCTCTTTTGCTTTTTTCGCTTGAGCGTCTGGGACATGCCCACCTTTATGCTAAATAATTAAATATATAGGGGAGGATTGGGGTACCCACCTCGATGCGAAAGCCCAGCGTGGCCGTGCTGGAGATGGTCTCACGCCAGACCATGTACCGGGGCTTGGTCACCGCCTTGGCCGCGTGTTCCTCCAGTGTGGGTGCCTGGGCGTCGATCTGTATCATCTTGTCGTACATGTCCTTGCGCAGCTTGGGCTTCTCCTTGGCCTTGGACAGCTCCTCCTCGAGGTAGGTGCGCACCCCCACCTTGCAGTCCATCACGCATGGCTGGACGTAGTCGCTCAGCAGATCCTGCAGCTGCAAGTAAACTGCTGACGTGGCAAGCCAGAGCGGATCAGAATGGAAAACAGAATCGCAAGGTGTCGAAGGCTCAACTCACGGTCACCATCCTCGCTGGTCACCTGACCCTTGAAGACGGGCACATAGGGCCGGAGCAGGTCCTGCATGAGGATCTGAAAGCATTCCTCCTCTTTGGGGCAGAGCTTCTTGAGGACGGTGCCCGGCTCGGGACCGGCCTTGAAGTTGCCCTGATGGCCAGCCAACTGGACCCATGGATAGCGCTGCTTCTTGTACGTCTGAAAGAAGGGCGTCCATTGCACAATGTTGCGGATCTTCCGCCAGCCAGAGCTCTGCAAGGATCACACAAAGAGAAGAAGCGGATTAATGACCTGATCAAAGCATCCACAGCAAACAGATCCTCCCAGCGAAATGGATCCAAGACAAACGGATGGAAGAAGAACACCCAAGGGGGTGGTGGGATCACGGGGACCTCCATCCATCTCCATATGGAGCTCATTACCTTCTTTGTGCCCGGCACCCCGCCACCGCCAGCTGCCGTCGCTGATGCCGAGCCGGAGGCGGCGTTTGGGGCCCCCGAGGTGGACACATCCGAGTCCCACTCGGAGCTTAGGTCATCGCTGCTGGCATAGCCATAGTCCCGCGGCATGGGCACCTCCAGCAGCGACTTGGAGTACTGGATATAGCCCGGACACAGGCTCTGGCCCAGCGGCGAATGGGAGCGCCGTGGCCCCAGTCCCAGTCCCAGCCCCGTGGGCGAGCTGGGCGAACCCGAACCCGAACCAGAGCCCATGGGAAGCGAGTGCTGCTGCGAGAGCTTCCGGCTCCCGGCCAGATTCAGATTTAGGCTGACGTTATGCGCCACATGGTCGCCCGAATTGCCCGTGATGCTGATGGTCGGCATCGAGAGCTTCTTCTCGGCCCGCTGCCGGATTCCGTGGGCCTGGGCGAAGGCCAAGCTGCATTTGCGCGACTGCATGTTGTTGCCCGAGAGCTTGCGGCGGAAGAGTTTCTTGACGGTGCTGGTGGTGGTGGTGGTGTTGGTGCCGGAGCTGCTGTTGCCGCCGGCCTCTGGATGGCCATTGTTGGTCTCCGCCTCGCTGCCTGCATCCGCGTCGCTGTCGGCGGCCGCCTTCTTGGGCGCATCGCTGTCATCCTCGTCCTCCTCGTCGTCAAAGTGGAGCTTGGCTATGTCCTCGGGCGACACGTCCGGGAAGTGCAGCAGCTTGACGGTCACCTTCTTGCCCGCCTCATTGTAGTACACCTCCTTGGCGCTCATCCTGTCAAAGTCCTCGTAGATGCGGACCTGCGGCGAAGGCGGCGGCGTGGGCGGTATCTGTTTCTGTTTCAGGCTCGTGGAGCTCTGCAGCGGTAGTGTTCCACCAGCGTTTAGTGGTGTGAGCAAAGGCTTTCCAGCACCAGAACCAGCAACGGCACCGACACCGGCACCAGTCCGTGGCGAGCGCGAGGCTTGCGGGGGCGACTTCTGCTTCTGTGGCGGTTGGGTTAGGGCGCACACGGACATTTTACACGACCTGCGTCGGGGACAGACGCTCGATGCTCCACTGTCGCATTAGACGGCACGATTCCGACTCAAAAGCTGATTGCTATCAGTGCCACTGCAACTGCAACTGCGGCAGAGATGGACATAGACATAGACATAGAGATAGAGATACACAGATAGAGAGAGGCAATCTCATTGCCGATGCTGAGGCTGAGCTGATGTGGATGTGGCTGTGGCTGTGGCTGTGGATGCTGGGGCTGCTGCATTTTTGATTTTCTGCACATTTGCGAACCCGTTCTCTCCTTAACCGCTAACAGCGCTCCGGTAAACCGTCAGCCATCCATCCATCCATCCATCCAGTCACCAGATCCCTCCCCAATCTCCACTCCACTCCTTCCGTCTGCCTTCTGCTGTCTTTTTCTCTCTCTCTCTCTCTCTATCTGACGAGTGCTTGGGCCCCGGCGATGGGTATGGGTCTATAAGCAAGCGAATACCCTTTAGGTTTCCCTTAGAATTTTCACTCGTCAAGTGCCAGAGAAAGAGAGCCAGAACGAGTGGAGAGAAGAGCAGGATAAAAAGGGAGAGAAAGAGAGAGAGAGATTCACTGAGAGATATGAAACTGAAAACTGAACCCTCTAGATAAGATTAAAAGTAATCCGTGCTTTCATTCGAAGGATTTGAATGAATTTGTATCAAAGGAACTTTCTAGAGCCACAGGAGCGTGGGGGAGCCACCCCCAAAGATGAAATATTTAATGATTCCTTAAGGTATTTGCTCTCTGGGAATTGGCGGAATCTTCAGCTACCTTCAGCTCCGTCTCTTGACGGAGGATATCGCATCAGGGTATTGTTGGTTCGTTGTTGCTGATTGCAGATAGCAGATTGGCGATTGCCGATTGGCGATTGTTTTACTTGTCTGCTTTTGGGGGCTGTGGTGGTTGTTGGGCGCAGACATCAATCAAAATTGATTAAATTGAATACACATGTATGTGCCATTTAACAACAGCACACATGGAACAAACAGAAACAACAACAAAAACCATTCGTAAGTAGGCATTGTCGAAGCGTGTTGGCATCTTGGCAGCTCCATCTGCGGCATCCGAGAGCTGCCAACACAACAGCACACTACACCATCGGTGCCACAAGCCGCAAGCCACAAGCCACTAGAAGCAATCGCAGCAATCCGGCAATGGGACCGACCGACCGCAAGTGGAAACCGCCCAGACCAGAGACCAGAGTCGGGCAAGGCAAGGCAAGGCAAGGCAATCCGAAACCCAAATCGAACAACACATTATGATAATAATGGAAATGCCAGCAACAGCAACAGAAGTAGCAGCAGCAGCAGCAGCAGCAGCAGCAGCAGCAGCAGCAATGAGCTGCTATCCAGTTACGCCAGCCAGTGCACACCGAGACAGACCGATGAGACAGACAGACAACAGCAACAATACTGAATGCTGAATATACATACGAGTATATGGCATATACATATGTACATATGTATACATTATAGTATAGTATGGTATACTGAAATTTCTTTATAACATTTGACGTCATTTGCAAAAGTTGACGCTGTCGCCGCTAGGCGATAACGAAGCAACACAACCAACAACACCCAATAGACGACAGAAACAGACACCAACCGACAAACCGACAAACCAACAACCGGCAACGAGTGGAAACCTTGGTAGAACACAACGTTGTGTGTGCCATTTCGATGTATCTCTCTGTGCCTCACGATCATCCATCAAACTAGATTCTAGACATTTGGCATATTTATTAGCTGTTCGATGAGTTTTGCTCAAGGAATGGCTCCTTGTGTCTCTCTCTCTCTCTGCATTTGTTATTGTCAGCCTAAAAAGTCTTTCTTAACTTTCCCCTGCAACGAAGGACTTGTCTAAGGTCTTTTTTCTTTTTATTAGCTTTCACTTCTCCATCTAATATTTATCCGAAATATATCTACTGCTTCTGCATGTGTCCTTTCGCTTATGGGAAATTTGTACAGCGAATAAACGTTATTCATTTGAAGTTCCCTAGTTCCCTAGTGAAAAAGTCCTGTTTAAAAATCCTCAAATGTTGGCACAATTGTAGCAGATAGTTCCAGCCAATAATAGAATAAATCCCTTTCCTTAATTGAAGTTTTTCTCTAATTATATCCTTTTCTATATACATATATACATATCCATATCCTTTGGTTCCTCAATGCATCTCTTGCATCGTCTAATTTTACTCAACTGTTCCCATTTGGATATGTAAATTAATTCCAGTGATATTTTCTCATTTGAATGTGTTTCATCTGAGGATATTGTTCCTGTTCCATTCCATTTGTTCGCTGTTCTAATTAGCATGCTCTTTGCTTTGCTTTGCTTGCCTCGCTCTTCGTTAGCATTGCGCCTCTCTCTTGCCTGTAACTGAACTATCTTCATGCTCGACTCTCTCTCTCTCTTAAATACGAGTGGATTTATTCGATTCGATTCGATTCGATTTGGTTCGTATCGGTACGGGCTTGGTGTGCGATCCGTCCTTAAATACAAATTTGCTGTCCGTTATCTAATAAAAACAATTGTACAATCTTCGATGCCGTCAGCAGCAGCAACAACAACAACAGAAACGTCGACGATAAAGACTCTCGGATATACTCGATGTGGGAGAGACACATGTATGGGGTGTATTCGGGGGTGTATGGGAGGGCATGGGGAGGCATGTACCGTGCATATAGATACATTTATCGGAGCGTGTGTGGGGGTACGTAATGCCTGGAATCTCCTCCACACCCACAAGCACCCGACACCCGGGTCGTCGTCGACAGCCCCTCTCAAAGTAAATGAGCGCCAAATGGACTCTATGCGCTTAATGCGCACCATTCACATTCACATTCGCATTCGCATAACAATATCTCTTTATTTCGTTTTTAACTACCAAAAGTTTCAAATTAATAAAGTAAACATTTTTCCCTATTTTTCTCTCATGTACGTAGCACGTGAGTGTGTGAGTGTGTGTGAGATGCGTGTTTTACTACCCTACCTACGCGTGGGGTATTGCCATTGTGAATTCATCATACGAACTCGTAGATATGTACATATACATATATGCTTTTGTGTATCTGTAGGATCGTTGGTTTCAGGAAAAAATTTAATCTAATAATTCGATCTTTCAGCGGAAATTAGGAAAGCCATACATTATATCATACTGTTAAGAATCTATAGCTATCATAGAAAAATATCGCTTATAATTCTTAAGGATCATCGATTGAAACTTTAGAATCAGCAGTAAATGAAATCCTGCTTAATATGCTGCTAGTACTCGCAGCAGCATAAAATAAATCAATCATCATTTATTCATATTAGAATTATGTTAGAATTTTGAACATTCTGAACATATGAAATGTGAGATTTTGAGGGTATTTAAAGCTTCGTTCGCTGGCTGCTTGAACCTGGCTTTCCTTTACTTTCGTTTCGTTTCGTTTCTTTTTGTTTCTTCTTACCATTGACGCACAGAATAAATGGTTTTGGCTTTGGGATTCGCATTTGGGAGCTGGATCGGCTGGATGGTCATGTGGGTGGGTGTGGGGTAGGCGCCTCACCGCCGCCGCGTCGGATGTTCATGAATCGATCGCCACACCAATTAAGGCCATCGGCCGGGGTCTGGGGGGGCTGATGGTATGGCCGGGGGTTTAGTTCCATTTTTGGGCGCTTGCTTAATGAGTCTCAATTGCCGAATGGCCGGCCGAATGGCCGAATTGCTGATTTTGCTGTACGAAAATAAACACGATTTCTGTATGCGTTTGTTTGCCTCTTCAATTATATAATTCACATTTCAGATACCCTTGAAAAGACTTGGGTACTCGGACTTTGATCATGGGCATGCTTTTGTCCCTTAATTGAATATATCTGGCACAGATCCTAGCTACAACTGCGCAGCCATTTTATCTGTCATAGCAGCTAAAGTACTCGCATTTGTTGGATAAACTTCTGAAGATAGTCGAAGTAAATCATTTGAATGGTTTGTTCCCTTTATGGGATACAGTCCATCGGCAAGGGTATCAATCGCTTCGGGCCACCCCCTCCGGAGCTTGGCCTTCGTTTCTTGGAAGTGGGGTTTTTGGGTGGTGTTCCAAAACTGCGTAGCAGTCTAGGGGTAGAGAGTGCCATTGCCAGTGCCTGTGGTAGAGCGGTTAGGGGGCGGGAGCCGGAGCGGGAGCGGGAGCGGAGAGAATTCTCATTGACGTCGTCATTTGTGTTGCTATTGTTATTGTTGTTATTGTTATTGTTGTTGATGTGTAAATGTTTACATAAACTTGAATATAATGAATTTTCGGTGCAAAAGTCAGTTTTTGTTTAGCTATTTGGCATACAAGTTTTGGATTGAATGCCTGTCTCCCACTCGATTGAATCGATCCCCCCCCTCGAACGCTCTCTGAATTCGCATTTTGATTCGAAATCTCTCTCTCTCTCTCTCTTATCATATATTTCTCTTTCTCTGTGATAACTTCTAGCTCACACTCTCTCTCTTTCTGTCACTCTCTCTCTCTGTCTCTCTCTCTCTAAAGGGGGCTTTGGCGGCGCGTGGTTCAATTAACACACTTAACAGCCAGTTCCCCCCCACTCTAAAAAGTTGAAGACTTTCTTCCGTTTTTGAAAGACAACAAAGACTGAACAAAAACAAAAACAAAAATACATACACACACTAACAAACAAAAAATAAAACAAAACAAACAAGAGCAACAAGACACAGACAGTTCCAAAAAACCAGGCAAATAATATTTTAATTAAAATAAGAACAAAAACAAAACAAAAAACATAAAAAAATATCAGAATCAGAAAAATGATAATTTTTTGGAATTCTTATTATGTGTTTGGTGTTTTTGTTGCTGTCTTCTTATTTTTGTTTTTGAGGCGCTTGACGCGGCCGGTCGGTCGGTCTGTCGGTCGCTTGGGAGAGTGACACGGAGCACGGAGAGAGTATGTGGCCCAAGGAGAGAGTGGAACACTTGGTGCACATAAACACACACACACACACACTCGCATACAAAGCTTGGACTGAGCGAGAACGGTATACGGTGGAATCACACGCGGAAAAGACACGACAGAGGCACGATGAGAAAAGACGAAACAACGGGAGCCCGAGCCAGCCGCACGCGATCGCTGCAAAAGCTCAACTGGTCGACTCTGCTCTGGAACTGAAACAGAAACCGAAACCGAAACTCAACGGAATTGAATTGAATGGAGCAGAGGCACAGCACCGCACAGCACAACAGAGCAGACAGTCAGCCGACCAACCAACCGACCGACCGACCGACCCACAGAGCCGCCCCACCGACGACGTGCAGCGGCCAGCAAGAGCAGAAGCAACGGCAGCGGCAGCGGGTGTCCTCCGCCTCCCAACTATTGTACAATGCAAACCGAAATGAAGCTGTGCAAAGAGAGACAAAGAGAGAGAGCGAGAGAGAGGGAGGCTGCAGCTGATAAGATGGGTAGGGTGGCTGGGTGCATGCGGAGTGAGGAGTGTCGACAGTGCGGAATGAGGGTGCAGCAGCAGCAGCAGCAGCCGCAGCAACAGTGGGAGGAGCACTTCAAACGCAATCACGAAATTATCGATCGATAAACAGATAGATAGGCAGAGATGGGTGGGGGGTAGGCGGAGCTGGGACAGAGATCTGATGGGAGGGGGACAGGAAGGAGGAGGAGCAGAGTGAAATATAATGTTAGAGAAGCATGGATTAGGTGGGGAGGAGGTGGGACAGAGTCACACAGACACACAGATATGCGTCTAATTAGAAATGTGAGGAGGGTGGTGGGAGGTGGGAAGGGAGGCAATGATGAAATTGATAAGAGACAGTGGCGCTAGGAGGATGAGAGAATGCCTCTGGGCATTACCTCCTAACCGCTCTCTCTCTCGGAGGGGGAGGAGATGGTCTGTGTCTGTGTCTGGGTCTGGCTTTGGTGATGGCTCAAAGCTCAATAGTTGGCCTAGAGACTTGACTTGCGCCGGGGCCACTTATAACGGTATGACGTAGTTGCTGATTAGAATGTCATGCAACAGCGTCACCGATCCTCGAGCAGAGCTTCGAATGCTGTCACACAAAATTTCCAGAACTTATTCTGGGAAAGAATCAATGGCAGATGCCAGATGCCAGATGACTGTTCCCAGCAACAACAAAGAACAAATGAATAACCGAAGAGGACCTGCGACCTGAAAGAAGAAGGGAAAGATATCCAAATCCAAATATTTCGGGAATATATTTATCTCATACTCTATCTTATACTCTATGATCAGGAGAAAACAGAAGCGGAAGAGCAGAACAGAACAGAACAGAGCTGTGAAGATCCTTTTCCGCAATTAACGGATAACTTTCTCCAGAGCAGAGAGCAGAGCAGAAAGCAGAGCAGAGCAAAGAAACGGAGATCAGAAACAGGAGAAAGTGTATTTTATATTCAACCGAAGATCCTTTGCCGAGAGCGATGCTTACTTTCTCCACAGCAAAGCTCATTGCGCGCGCAGATTATTTCCTCTCTCTCTCTCTTTCTCTCCCTCTCTCTCAAGCCCTCTCTGTCGCTGTGTCTTGGCGTAGTTATCAGTTGAACAATCTCATTTTCACACGATCCATGCTTTACGCATCAGCGACTCTCATTCTCCCTCCCTCCCTCCCTCCCTCTCACTCCCTCTTGCTCATTCTCTCTGTAATTATCTCTCTCGCTTTGCCGACTTCTGCGTCAGCGGCTTGTGACGTCAATGGCAACGGAGAACAGCTTTCGGACCGGACCGGTCCAACAGTCCAATCCAATCCAAGGGCAACAACAAGCCCGAGAAGAGAATCAAGAAAAAGCTCGATCGCCGCCTGCCACCACCCCAGAGTACTTCAGAGTATTTGGCCTTAGCGGAGACAGCAACCAGTTGGGAGAGACACACACAGACAGACCCCAACAGCTTTCCCAAATGCGTTGGGGAAAGCTTTTGGGGAAAGCTTGGGGGAACAGATCTAAGCGTATCGGGGACCCCGATTCTTACCTTTTTCTTGGCCGCCTCAGAAGCACTGATCACGTACAGATCGACAATGCCCAGGAGACAGTCGTCGCAGCGGCAGACATCCTCGCCAAAGGCCAGGGAGCCCAGGCTGCTCGTCGAGTCCAGGGAGTCGGTGCGTCGCAGCCGGCTCAGAATGGAGGCGCCACTGGCACCCACCATGGGCATGCCCGCTATCATGGGAATCTGCCCACTGCCCGAGGCTTCGCCTGGAGATGGGGGCGAACCGGCAGAGCTGGAGGCGCCTCCCGCAGCGGTAGCCGCGGCCTCGATCTTGCGCGCCAGCAGCTGCTCCATGAGCGTGCGCGGACGCGATGAGGACGGAAACAGTGCCATTTCTTCTGTTCCTGCTCCTCCGTTATGTCCACCTCCGCCGACACTTGCCACTTGAGTTCTTTGCCTAAGTCTTTCGTTAGTTCCCTCTTTCTATATCTCCGTCTCTCTCTCTCTCTCTGTCTATCTCTCTTTTTCCTCTTCTGTAATTGTGTATCGAATATTCCCGGAACGAAATCCAATCCCTATTAATTAAGCGTAAACTGCAACATACCTGCAAATAAAGCACAAAAATAAAAGTTCATGGTTTAGATATTTTTAGATATTTTGGTTAGATTTGTGGACTACAATTAGCCAATACAGATGAAAGGTTTCTCCAGTTCAGCTGGAAGCCCCCTTGATCTTTGATGTTCAATCTAACTACCCATAATAGAACTTATATCTTAAATCTGAGTCTTACAGGTTCAAAAACAGGCTCACAGAATTATATTCCCTTTCATTCATCATTAAATATATCTTTAAGTCTATTCCCTATTTATGATTCTGATTCTGTTCCCGTCTGCTTTGCTCTCATTATTCCCTTCGAAAAACCTTCATTAATTATTTTACGTGCTGGAATTTCTTACTCCATCTCGTTCTCGTATTCGACTTCCACTCGTATCAATGTCGTTGAGAACGCAATCCATCAGATACTTCGCAGCGGCATAATAAATTACCAGTATGAACGGAGCTGCAGTCTTAGGACGGAGTTTCGCAATCTCATAATCTCCAATCTTCGTCGAATCTTTGTCGGTACCTTTTTGCTATCGTTGTGATGGGACAGTTCTTTGGACAGTTCTTGCCACAACCACACGTCAAATATTTATGGGCCACAATTTGTTGTCTGTCGCGCGCTTATCTGCACGCATCTGGATGAGCAAAAGACACAAGGATGTCGATGGAGCTCTGTGACAGGGCCAGAGGCTGACTAAGCCAAAGTCGAAATACGTTGGGGCGTTAGAAGTGGCATTCGTTTAATCGTAAAGCTGATAAAGATTTCTTATTAATTAACAAGAAAGTCCAACAGAGACTGAGATACTGTCCAAAGTTTTCCCATTTCCCATGGCAAAAGACTAAAAAGAAAAGAAGCAAAAAAAAAAACCCGTTGAAGCTGGCCCAAAACTGGCTCTCTCTCCTAGCCACGTCTTTTGCCATGGCTCCTTAGCCGGTTGCCGGCTGCCAGTGGCTGCTGGCTGCTGACTGCTGGCTGGTGGCTGCCTCTTGTCGGTTGTAGTCGTCATCCGCATCATATCGCCGCATTTATGCGCACATAAAAGTTAAATAATAGATCCAAAAGATACATTTGCCAGTCCCCACAATCCGCAATCCCCAGCACCAGCACCAGCCACAACTCCAACTCCAATTGCTCCAACTTTAGCTTCAAGTGGCTGCCCGTTGCAAGTTGCACAGTCTGCAGTCTGCCGTCTGCCCCACCAATGGTGGTTGGTTGGGTTGCCTGTTGTTGTTAGCCAAATGATTTATAAGCGGCATGCCACAACTCGTGTTGTTGGCTTTTGCTTTTTGCTGTTTTCTGTTGCTGTTGTTATACCCTGACGATACCTCCGAAAAGGGGTATTACAATTTAATAGCCTCCCAAAAAGAGTCCCAAAAAGAGCTCCAAATTCAAACATTTCAAGCATTTAACATGAGAACGAATTAATTGTGGGAAACCAAATGAGATTTGCATTCCCATTGGCGCCCTAAACCGCTCAAGAACCGAAAGATTACACCGCAAAATTCCCAATCGCAGGACATTACCCGACCCAGTCAAGCTTCTCCTCTTTTTAAAATACAAAAAAATATTCAGAAATCTTCAAGTACTATTCATATACCAAGAGAGAAAAATAAACCCTGAAATTATAATATTTACACATACATAGATCTAAATATGTTAGCTTTGCTACAAGCGTAGAAAAATTATTTCATCTACATATATTTTGACTGAAAATATTTGATTAAATTAATAATTCAAATAAATGCAATGTTCAATTTAAACTAAATAGTTTTATACTTTGATTGAATATATCTATATTTTGATTGAATATTTCTTTATAAATGTAGAATATTTTGTTTATTTTAAAAGGTTTTATATTTATTTAAAATTTGGAATTTTAAATAAATTTATGTTCAAATAAAAAAAAAACTTATTTTCGCCATGTTTGTAATTAAACATCGAATATTAAATGGAAAAATTGGGTGTGTTTTTTTTACTTTGCCAATTTTCTCTGAGTGCAGGAGAACATTTCCTGATGAAAACTTAAAGAGAGATAAAACCACGAATCGTATTGAGTTCTGTGATAAATTGAAACTCTCTCAAACATAAAGGTGACAGACACTACGATTAATAAATTTTGTATTTCCAAAAATAGTTTAGCCATACAATTTGTACTCTGAAAGATCCCGAAATTCTTTGGCCCTGCAGAACAAAGTAAATTTTATTTCAGATTGAGAAATTCGCCTTTCTGGATATATTACCAGCCTCTCTAACAAATGGATGATGTTTTGGGATACCTTTGATCAATCAAATGTGGGAAATTGTGTACCCCACTCGAACAGTTGGGGGAAACAGTTAAATAGGGAACAACGTGTTCGTCTTGGACCTGGACTGGCTTCGCTTTAGTTTTCCATCGCTTTTCCGCCGCTTTTCAGCTTTTGTGTGTGTTTCTGTGTGTCTGTGTTGTTGGCATTGCTTAAGCCAACTGTCTTGTACTTTTATGGGCGCTCGTCTTATCAATAATTTATGTCAGATTATACCGTTATGTCACAATAAATTAAAGTTGGCAACTTATTTTCCAGACTCCACTCCGTCCACCGTCCCACCGTCCAGTCGGAACAGTCGAACCGTTTGAACAGTCCGTTTTGTGTGTGCGTTTGTATTTGGCTTTTTAGTTTTTTATTATGGCCAAATCTGTCAGTTTAGTGGCACATTTGGAAAAATGCTTTGAAAACTGAACGTGCCACCGTCTGTGTCTGTGTCTTGTGTCTCCCTCTATCTATAGAGATCCACTGTACTCCACAGCACTCCACAGAGCACTCCACTCCACTCCACTCCACTCCAGTTGCAGTAGCGATTTTTCCAGTCGAGATCGGGGCACGGGCACATCTTTGGGATGTTGGCGTGCGGTGGCAAATTTCACTGTCACGCCTCGTTTTCAATTAACTTGTTGGCGGGGACCGCCGCAGCGTCCATAAATCAAATGAGTCCCCTACGAAGCCACGAACCAGTAGTAGTGGTAGTGGTCCTCCTCCTCCTTCTCTCCTCCCATCAGCTCCCCCCCCCCCCATCTGTCCTGCTGCCTAACTGCATTTGATTTATGAAGATCGCTTCATTTGGCTTCTGCGTCAGTGGCAGTGGCAGCGGCTGCGGCTGCGGCATTGGCTCCTTTGGTTGCTCCATGTCAAAGTTTATCGACGGGAAGCGGCCGGTGGCCGGCGGCCTGTTGGCTGCTTGATTAATGCCTTTGTCGGGTCTTTGAGGCCCCGATCGCCTGGCTCTGGCTTGGGCTCTCGCCCGTCCCGTGACCATAAAAGCGCAACTGCGAGTGCAACTGCAACTGCTGCAAGCTGCTGTTTATGGAAGTTGCCTGTCTGCTTCTGTGTTGCTCTTGCATTTCCTCTCTACAGCCTCTGCACAACGCGACACTGGGGTCAAAGCACACACAGCCAGACAGCTGCACATCCCACAGAATTTCAGAACATTTTTCATACAAAATTCCTACCATTTGAGCATAGGAAAGCAGGTAATACCTTTACTCTTATTTGTATATATATATTTATTTATATAATCTGATGCCATTATCTCTGCAGCATTGGCAGCGGGATGTGAATTGTAATTTTAATGTAGTTACAATTCCCATATCTATCCACATATAAATGCGTATACTTATCGATCTGCTCTATGGTAGTTCTAGAGTTCTACCCAAAAGACTCACTCTTTGTTGCGCTCCTCCATTGGACTGCTCCAAGAGCAAACAATTGTAAATTCGAAATCACAGAAAAATAATCAACAAATAAACAAAGATATGTGAATTTCCACAGAAAAGAAAAGGCGGCGCGAAGATCGAATCGAAGCGAATGAGACTGCTTGCGGATCGGATCGGATGGGATCGTATCGTAATCGTATCGGTATGGTGTCGCATGGGGGACTCGGACTCGGACTGGGACTGGGACTGGGATCGGGTCGGACCAGCGATCGTTCGCTTGTTGACTTTGGAACGGTGCACGCGCAACTGAAGTCGTGGAAGTGGCAGCAGCCGCCAGCTAAGCTTCGGGCCGCGAGAGGCCACGACCGAAGGCGGGCCAGGCCGGGGCAGGCAAGCCGAAGAGCTGCAATCGTGGATCGTGGTACGTTACGCCAAGAGTCAAGCGGATCAATGAGGGGCTGGGGGTCTGGGGCTGCCTCCTCTTGGTCCGACTGCCTGTGGCTCTGTCGCTGTCGCTGTCTCTGGGGCCCTGCTTCTGGGGTCTGGGGTCTGACACTGAGGCCTAATCCCAGGCTCTAATCGCCACATAAATCAGCAACGACATGATGGAATAATGACTCTGATTGAAACACGGCAAGGAAATGGTGCGACAAATGTCATGCAGATGAAGGGTCGGCTCCACAACGCTGGCGGCCTGCTGTGACTGTGTCTGTGTATGGCTCTGTGCCTGACAGATCCTCCGACAAGGCGACTAATTGCGGCGGCAAATTGCCTTGCATGCATTTGATTTGCATAATGCAAATTGCGGCTTGTTCTAATCGGTAGCGTTCGATCTTGGATCGTGGGGTCGCTCCCCCGCCCCCACCAACCCCACCTTACCACTTTCTGTGGGTCGGCTTGGCTTTATGACAGACTTCGGCTGCGGCTGTCACAATATTTGTACGGTATTAATTGACCACTTGACGCCCCCCAGCCACAAATCCAGCAGCAGTCGCAGCCGCAGCCGCAGGCACACCCCCATCCCCAATTCCGGAGGAGGGCAGAGCAGGCATAGCAGAGGAGGGTTGGCCAGAGGAGGGGAGGGGAAAGAGAGTTTGTTTAAGTGTTTTATGAAGTCAGACAGATGGTCTGGCCAGATAAGTGAGGAGGCACTGGCACTGGCTCTGGCACTGTGGATCTGTGGCTCCACTCCGCTCCCAGAGGCAGGCCCCGCATCCGCATCGCATGTCATCGCTCATAGCCTGTCATAGGCGCACCACAGACCAGAGACCAGAGACCCGAGACCCGACCAAACCGAACCGAACGCAGAAAGCCGAGAGATACAAAGATACATACGGAATGAGGCAGGATGGGAACTGCAAAGCTGCAGCACTGCAACTGCAACTGGCACTGGCACTGGCACTGGGACCAATATCGAACCAAAAGCTATGCCTCGCACTCGTAAATGTATCAAATTTCTTTATCTTTTCATCGGTTATCTCGGGGGAGAGCGATATCTATTTCCAAACATTTATTTACCGCTTATCAACTGTGGCCAAAACATGCCACAATCTTGGCGAGGAGACTGCTAGCGAGGCACCACTGTACGTACCACAGAAAAAGTAAGCGATCAAAATACAATAAACAGTTGGCCCAAATATCGTCTGGAATTTCGAGCTATTCTGAACTTAAAACTGCATTTATTTCAGGGCACAGCAGCTGGTGGGTGGCCAGAAGCCTCCCCAGGAGTAATACAATATTTAAGCGATTGCTATTGATATTCCACTGTGAACATTTCTTTCATTTGCGACACGTGTATTTTGCTATTGCATTCTCGGGCATTCTCTTTTGCAGTTTTCGCTTGTGCGTCGGGCGTCGGGCCAGGAATAAATCTCAGTGCACCACCAAATCACAGCATGGACTAGCCAGCTCTATGCAATTGTATTTAACTGCCAGTTAAAGAGATTCAAGCAGCAGTAATGTGTACCTGGCCCTGTCCATGAGGCACCTTTGAGCAACTAATTGGATGAGGAAGCCAACATGTCCTTGTCCATGTCCGCTCTGAAAGTGTAGACCGTACTAACAGTAGGAGAACTCTACCGTGTGGATCAGCCCCCTTAGCTGCCTGCTGCATGTTGCATGTTGCATGTAGCGCGTTTGTTTTCGGCGGGTGTCGCGCGTTGGGACATGCAACATAACATAACCTTTAAGGCCATCCACAGGGGGGGGAAGCTAAAGGCATCTCACAGCATTGACAAATATGCTGGACACGCAAGTCCTAGCATTTCTTTAGGCCACTGGCCACTGGCCACTGGCCACTGCCGTGGATTGGATTGCTTTTGTGGGATTGGATTGCTTGCGGGGGGATCGGGGGATGTCAAGATCGCCAGATCGACTGGCAGAATGGGATTCGATTCAGGGGAAATGGCAAACGAAATAAGCAAAGAACATGTACAAGAACCAGAGGGAAAATCCAACAGAGAAACAGAGACCGGACCGAGTAACAACCGACAACAGCAACAACAACAACAACAACAACAACAACAACAACAACAACATCGACATGAGCAAATGACGCAAATTGCGCGCACACCCGAGAGACCCACCGATCAGAGACCGTTTCGATCCGATCCGATCCGACCCGTCTGGAAGAAGGGCCTTGGAACTGGAACTGAGATGCAGACGGGGGACGGGGACGGCGACGGCGACGGGTGCCGCGGAAGCTGTTTGCTTTAGGCTTCTTGACTTGCGGTTCAGTTACTCATTCATCGATGGTTAGTTCGTAGGATACCCTTACTGGCACTTTGCAGAGCGCATACAGAGAGGAGTGGGGATTAAATTTCGTTTCGGGAGACACCTTTGGGTCGAGTTGGTATGCTAGAGAGAGAGAATATAGCAGAGAGATCACCGAAAACAACAAGATTATTCCATCCAAAATTATTAGTACGTTCCCACAACATCCGATCTATTTATAACCATCTAAAAGCAACCGAAACATTGGCATCTTTTTGGGCAACCCATCCAGAAATCACAGAGTCCTTTCGCTTATTGGAAATTTGACCGAAAACCCGGACGTGGTGACCTCCAAATGGGCTCCGAAACGTGCAAGGGGTATTTAAAATTCAGTACAGATTGCCCAATAGCATATTCTCTTCATTAGAGCGAACCGATCGTTTGAAAGGGCTTTCCAATAACTCAAATCATTCAATGAGCAGACGTCATAGAGACAATTGGTTAGATGCAGGAAGTGCTTCTTTCTATTGAATTTCCCAGGGTATGGGTGCCGTCGGCTTGCCAAAGCTTATCTTAAGCGCTTATTTCTCTGTGGCTTCCATGGCGTGGCTGGGTGGCAGGGTGGCAGGGCTTGGGGCTTGAATGCGGGCACCAAAAGCCCGCAGCGATGTAATTTACTTTTCGACGATCTTCACCGCGATCGCTGATGGGCGGGCAGGCGGCCGCAGTTTGCTGACGTCAACGGAAGTTGTCGCTTGTGCGAAGGTCAACATTGTTGTACCAAAAAGTGCTCCCAGATCCCACAGAGAGAGAGAAAGAGAATAACAGGAGGAGGAGGAGGAGGTTTGCTAAAAGCCAGTCAGATCTCAACGCTAAATCGATTTCTCACACAATTAGTGGGCGTCATAATTCCCAGTCTAGTCCCCAGTTCCAGCACCACTCCACTCCAATCCACTCCGCTCCAAGCCCACCGATGCGATGCGCGGCAAGGCGGCGCTGATGTGTTGATTAGATATGAGGACGGGGCCGTGCCGATCGGCCGCTGACGGATGTGCACGAACAAGCCATAAAAGAAAAAAAAACTAAAACGACACGATCCAATAATAATGGTAAATGCGCTCCGTCCCGTACCCATCCACAAAAAACTGCTACGACGTCAGACCTTTCATCGTCATCATCATCATCATCATCATCATCATGATCACTGAGTCGATCCTCAGTTGTAAAATAGTTATACCAGAAATGGGGGGAACAGCAGTGCATAAGTACGAGTAGTTCCGTGCATTTTTAAGTGCCGTAAGCACTAATAAGTTACAACTGCTTCGCTTCGGTTGGATCTGAGATATAGTGAGAGCACTCGGAAGTGCTTCCAAGCCAAGTCCTAGACCGAAAGGAGTAAAGTCTTTGCCTGCAGGAAACTTCAGACTTCATTCATTGGCCTCGGACTCTGAGTCCGAGTGGGAACCACACACAGACCCATACCCCATATCCCAAACCCCATACACCCATACCACATACCCAACGAGAGTCAGAGGCTGATATTATTAATGATCATGACTGAAGCGATTTCAGCTCATAAACAAAGGCACTCCAGAGCTCCAGTGACATCACAACGACGTCAGCAGTCGCCATAGCCATAGCCAGAGGTAGAGCCAAAGCCAATGCTCAAGAGCCGGCAAAGCCGGAGAGGCACCCACATGCTCGGGGGCTTTATCTTTAAGTAAGCAAAAGGCATTTCCATGAAGCCCACGCCGCATTGGACGCCGACGACCAACGACCAGACCACAATAGCAAAACAATACCTAGCGACAGTTTCAGTCTCAGTCTGCCCTGCCCCATGCCACATTTCCACACCCATTGGCCCCCCCTCTCCACTCAGAGGGTAATGCAAAGAAAAACTAAACAAGATCGCTGTACCGTACCGTACTGTTCTTTACACTCCACTCCGCAACACTCCCTGGCCTGGCCTGGCCTGGCCTGCCCGCTGTCGGCTGTCCCACTGTCGTGGCGCTGACAAGTGGTGATAAGGCGTGCGATGACAGCCGGCGACAGAGTGAGTAGGATACCAGGAAATGGAGGGGCCATTTCAAACACGGTAGATATCGGACGAAATATACAAACGGGCAGGCAGCATCATCATCATCATTGGGAGCAGAGCCAGAAGGGGCAGCAGCGGCAGCAGCGGCAGCAGGAGGAGGGAGAACGATGATATATTCATTCCAGATAATTCCCTGACTTTCTATAACTTAAAGAAGGAATGTCTGGGGCTACGTGTGTGTAGGCTCATTCGCAAGAGCAATTCCGAATGCGAAATCATGTTCAAGTTAATTATTGATGGAATCGGACTCAAGTGAATGCAAAAATATCTATTTAAGCGAAAAAAAATACACGTGCACGTACCATGTAAAACGGAGATCTGGGAACGGATGACTCCAAGCCCAACCGGAGACTGACTGTTTATCTGCTTTGAGTTCAAACAGTCCCATGACCAAAAAGTGTAATTCCCCCCCGTTGTGACGTAGATGGCTCTCTGAATATATCTGAATATATCATCGAAGATGGCTTTTTCGAGGTCTAATGAGACCTACGGACGCAACTCTTGACGGCATATCCCAACCATAATTTTGTGTATCCAATATGACTGGTGGGAAACCACCTGCCACCCACCACCCACCATCCGGCACCCGCCACCCTCGTGCCGGTATCGTTGGTATCCCTAACGATTATGGCCTTTGTGGATTGCCGAGGGCAGACTACATATAACTGCCAGGGAGATAAACCCCTCTGGCTGATAAGCGCATAAAATGATTATACCATATATACCCTATGTACATATGTATGTAGTGTATGTAGTGTATGTAGGTCTGGGACACACACACACGCACACGCACACGCACACACAGGTTGTTAGATATCCAAGCGGATGACTTTATTATCATACCAAAATAATTCGGTTTCTAATACTTTTATTCGGTTTTACATAACCCAGAAAAGATGTCATACGTATCCCCACCATCCCCACTCCCACTCTCTCTCTCTCTCTCTCTCTCTCGCTCTCTGTAGCCTTTGCGGGTGTATAGGATACGCATGCATGTATGTATATATATATATTGTTTGTGTGCACATATACATATGTATGTATAATATTTATCTATAATACGGTATATAATACACTAAGATAAGCTTTGTCCTCGCTCTCGCTCTCGTTGCTTTTATTGCGTATTGTTGTTGTTTCCGCTTGCTGCTACTCTGCCTTTCTGCCTGTTCTAGATAAAAGGGAATCATTTTTATCAAGGCACGGCACCCAATTTCAACATCATCCCATCCATGCGCCCCAATGCCTCGTATCACTCCAAAAAACCAACAGCAACACAAAAAAAAAAACAAAAGAAAAGGAAAAAGTACAAAAAACAAAACAAAAAACGGAGTACACACAGAGAAACAGTAAACAAAAAAAAAAAAAAACAAAAAAAGAAATTCAAACTTCTCGAGCGAGCGAGCAACAGAACCTCATTTTGTGATAAGATAAAAATCAAATTAATTAACAGCCTTTTAAGCAATCGCGCACACATACGTACAGTACGTACATACATATGTACATAAATACATACAAATATGCACCCAAGGGGTTATCTCCTTCGCTCTTCACCAGTCCTGCTTTCGTTTTTTGCTTGTACTCCAAGAGACTGAGGTGAGGCTCAAGATACAAGCCACAAGACAAATGAAAACCACATTGAGCCAATGCAAATAAATATGAATGTACATACATATGTATGTATGTATGTCTTAATAATAGTATATTGTTCCTATATTCCTATATGTGTATATCCTTAGCCCTAATCCGTATACAGAAGACTTTCATCTGGTATCCAGCGCATCATTCACTTCTGCCTAAAGCCAAAAAAAAAAAAAAAAAAACATACATATGTATATTTTAGGGATAATTATTAATAATAGTTTTCAACGATCTGTGTACATACATACATATGTATACATACATAGATACATACATTGACAACAACAAATACTGTTTCCATAATTCCTATTCCTAGCATTAACTACATTTATCCCTATGCTATCCTATCCTTCCTTCCTTCCTTCCTTCCTTCCTTCCTTTTTCTCTGTCACCTCTCTTTTGTGACTCTGTTGCTTGTGTTTGTGTGTGTTTTCTGTGTGCTTTAATATTTATAGATTGAGATTTCCCATTATGTTGTCGTCTTCATCGCTGGCGCTGGTGCCTACCTTCTTGGTGCCATCTCTCAGCAGCGTGGCAGCCAGCAGTTCGCTGAGCAGACGATGTGAATCTTCCTCTGTCTCTGTCGCCCTCTCCCTAACACGATCCCTCTGCGGCTGTTGCTGCTGTGGCTGCTGTTGCTGCTGATCCTCCTGTTCTGCTTGCACCTGCACCAGCAGCTGCTGCTGCTGCTTATCCTCCTCCTCATCCTCCAGCTCGAGATCCTCAATCACCGGCTCGTCCTCCTCCACCTCCACCTCTACCTCCTCATCCTCGTCCTCGTCCCCGCTGGTGCTGTGACTGCGACTGGACTTCCTGGCCAGGGCCACACGGACGCCGTTCACAATGCACTCGCCGCCGTCGAGAGCGGAGATCGTGGAGCCGCAGTAGTACAGATTGCTGCAGCTGCTCGCGGCACTGACATCCGACTGGCCTTCGTCCTTGGCACATCCTGGGCCCATGCCGCCGGCCGAGGCTGCTCCCGCTTCCAGCGAGCAGCGGCGTTGCCCGCGAGCCCGTTGCAACCGAAAGTACTCCATCTCCTCCATGCTGATACCACAGGCGGTGATGTCGTCCGAGTAGTCAGACACCACCACCGAGGGTGTGCGCACGTAGCGCACCCCGGCTCCCAGCTCGCTGAAGCAGCTTTGGGTGGACTCCCGCCTGGAGCCGGGCGGAGCTGCCAGTGCGGCCACAAGTCGCTCCTCCAGCAGCACCTTGGTGGGCACTCCAACGGAGCCGACCAGTCCCGCAGTACCGGTGGGCGAGGTGAGGGGAGACGAGTCCGGCAGGGCGGTGGGCTCGGCCAAGGGCAACAGGGCCGGACGCAGCGGCAGATCGGTGACGGTCAGGGTCATGCGACGTTGGGGTGGAATCGTCACCACCTCGATGTGGGCATCGTCCACTTCCAGGCCCAGGGCAGAGTCGCTGCTGGCGCAGCGTGTCACCTTGCCCTTCCGGGAGCGCGAGCTGGCGCCCATTGTGGCGCCGGTGTCCTCGTTGTCGCTGCTGTAGGGACTCAGCCCGCCCCCGGTAACATTGCAGCCCTCATCCGAGTTGGCGGCACTGGTGGCCGTTCCGCCCAAAGCAGCGGCTGCCTTCAGCTCCCGCTCGCGCTCCACCTGCTGCTCCTGCTGCACAATCATGGCCTGGAATTTGTGAATCAACAGCTGAATGGGTCTCCCTTGTCCTTGCTTTCGCCCGGCGTTCTCCTCTTGTGTGGTTTTGGCTCCAGTTTCAGTGGCTCTTTCCGTTGGACTCCTGCTGGTGGGCTCTCCTGTTTGATGGCAAATGTCCTTGAAGAAGGCGGCACGGAGTTGAGCCTTGTGCCTGGCCAGACGCTGCAGACGCTGTTCGCATGGAGCGGTGGATGCGTTTTCTTCGTTACTTCTATGCCTCTCTTTGGCACTCGTTGCTGCAATTCCAGTTCTGGGTTCTCTTTCTTCTGCTGCTCTTGTTGTGGTTGCTTTTGTTGTGGGTGTTTTTTTTTCTTTGTGGTTGATGGGGCTGGCGATCTGCTCGGATCGTTGATGCGTTGTATGCTCCGCCGCCGCTGTTCGAAAACTAAAAGCCGTTGGCTCTGCCGCTTCGAATTTATTTTCCACGTTAACCGTTGCCCACGCTGCAGTCGACGTCGCTGCTGTTGCTGCCGCCGCTGCCGCTGCCGCTACCGACGTCGCCGTCGTTATCTTTGGCATGACATCGAATTTGAAAGCGGGGGCGGTGGAATACAGACCCGAACCGTCGCGAACATTGCCGCCGCACGCACTCATCGCTGTTGCCGTCGCCGTCGCCGTCGCCGTCCCCGTCACCGTCACCGTCGGGGGGCAATATAAACGCGGATTTCCCTTATAGAAAATTGGAAATGAAAGCGCCGCTGCTTTCGTTCGCATCCAAAAAAACCATTCTACCGTCCGCACACTTCAAATGGCACCTGCCGTTGCCGTCGCTAAACTGTTGGGCCCGGGCTCGGTTTCGGTCTCGGTCTAGGGTTCTGTTCTGGGGGTCTGGTCTGCCGTCTGGCTGCCTGGCTGCTGTGGTGCGGGAGGTGAGGTGTGGCGAGTGGTGTGGTGCGGGTGCGGGTGAGGGTGCTGCTGCTTGCGGCTGTTTTCTGTTGCGGGTGTATTGTTGATAGTTTTTTTAAGTATGTTTTTTGTTGTATGTATATTTGTGGTTGTTGCTCTGACGATGGGGCTCTATTGAATTTTTGTAATTGCTCATTGCCCCGACACCCGAGCGCGCGCGCGCGCGCACCCTCACCCGCAGCAAGAGCAACAGCTGCTGCTGCTAGTACAGGGGGCGGCGGGTCGGGGCGGGCCTCTACTGTTGGGTTTGGTTGGGGGGTAATTGTGATCTTGAAACGTTGACGCAATGTGCAATGATCCCGCGCACGTACACACGTACACAATCGCACTCACTGCGCTGGCAGACACTTGTAACTGCTTATACATACATACATAAATATAAATACACATGTATTATGCACATACAAATTTCGTTTTTTTTTTTTGCTGCGCTCCAATTGCTTTGCTAGTGTATATTCTTAACTTGAGCGCGTAATTGCATTTAAGCACAAAGCACACACGAACAAACTCAAACACGCACGCACACGGGCACAAAAACAGGGACTGAGCTGAGAGCTGAGGAAAAGCAGAGACAGAGATAGCAACGGCCACAAGCACACACAGACACACAGGTACCGTATGACAGCACTGTCAGTCAACTGACGCACAATGGGATGAAACGATGATTTATTGCCCCATCTCCATAAGATTCGCTTGTAATTGCTGTACATAGTAAATGCTAGGAATAGTCCCATACATACATATGTATGTATATATATAATTAAATTATTCATTCACCCGTTCACCGACAAATAACGACCGCTGCCGCTGACGGAATCTGGTATGCAAGGAATCCGCTATGAACACACGTGATTCACAAATTGCGAAATCATCATGGTGACCCATTGTGCAGTGACGCCGCAGTGGTAGCGCAGCGCACTTTGCTCAACACCAGCGCTGTGACGTCAGTGACGTCAGAACAACGCAGACGCAACAGCGCAACTCGACACAAACAGGGTATCCGAAGAGCGACCATGGCAAGGGCGATTACTCAACTCCACCCACTCTTTGCCTTGCCGTTTCCGTTTCGGCGATCGATCGTCAACACACACTTGACGGCGAAATTGTCGTCGCAGGTAACGGCATGACAAGGGGGAAAAGGCTTGCTTTGAGGGCCGAAATATTGATACCCTTGTGATAGGCACCTGCTGACAACAAAAGAGTTCCGTGCTCGGATTAAGCCAAATCGCTTAAGAGCTGTGGAGATGTTTGTTTGCATAGAAACATACTAATGTACAGACGGAAATGGTTTTATCGACTGTCCAGTTTTCTGTTCCTTCTACCTCTATTGAAAATTTTGTATTCCCTCTGCATAGAGTACAACAAGCGGCGGCAGGCAATTAAAAAAATGCAACTTTTTGTTAATTTTATGTGATTTGTTCACATTCGTTCTTGTTGCTGTTGCTGTTTTTGTTTTTGTTTTTGTTTTTTTTTTACTGGCTGACAAGACGCACGGACGCTGGTTGCTGACGCTCATAGGCTCCGGGCCGGAATGACGTGGTAGCAGCTTAAAGTGATCTCCCCCTTTGCTGCTCCTCCCTCACCCATGTAGTTGTGAAATCAAAACCACTTTAGGTTTACACACCTGCGATTGAGATCGATATACCCGTATGTGTGAGTGTTCTGTAAGTGTGTGTGTTTGGGCAATTACGTCAATGCATTTGACGAAACAGAAACACAAAGTAAACAAGAAAAAAAACTGAAGGATAATGACCAGTCTCAATATCGTTCTCATTCTCTCACTCTGGCTTTATCTCTCAGCGCATTGTGCTTTTGGCCCAGTGACCGAAATCGCAACAACAAACTTTCAAAGCTTCCCCCCGACCCAAAGTGTATTAACAACAGGTGAGGATTTCCCAGAGAGCGCCCTCACGTGCGTTTGTGTGAGAGAAAGAGAGTGGCCACTATGTAAAGGCTTTCCTTCCCCTTTCCCATAGCGGTGCTTGAAGAATGGCTAATAGCTTGATGAGTTGGAGCGGTGGGTGCTGCCCACTACACTTCACACACTCGCACACAGACACGCAATAACCATTCCGTCTTCTCAAAATGGTCAAGGCAAGCCATTTGACGCGCGCATTCGCACACGCGTAAATTGAATTGTGTGCCGTTTATTGTTGTCTCATTCATTCTGGTTTTATTTGTTCATCGTTGCCTGACATTGATCATGCCTATGCTTTCTGTGTCTCTCTTTCGCTCTGTGTGTGTTTCTGTGTGCGTGCCTTCGAGTTAGTGGAATCTATAAATGAAGACAATAGCCCGCGCGGAACAGTTAATGGAAAAGCACATGCAAATTACATTTATTGCAGATCTCGATTTTCGTTTGGCTCTCTTTGTAACGGTTTGGCGCGCGACCAGCCAGACGCCGCTGCTGCTGCAGTTGCTGTTGTTGTTGTTGTGGGGCGCGGGGCCAGAGCTTGTTTCGCGATTCACTGTGCGCAAGCAACTGAAATCCGAAATTCGAAATCCGAAATGTGCTCCCAGGTCAAGAGGAGAGGCTTGGGGCAGCCGCAGCTAATAATCTACGCAGCTCGGCTGCAAAGCTCAGCCACAAGCACAGCTCGAATTTCGGCTGCACTGGAAGAAAGGGGTATAACAACACCATGCAGCTTTCACAATGCAGGAAAGGCAACACCTTCTGGATGAGAGAAGGGTGTACACTGTAAAATAGTAAATATGTATGTACATATGTAATTGTATGTATGTAACAGTAATTCCAATAAAAAGTTTGAAAGCCAGGAGCCATATGTACATATGTATGTAACCAATAAAAAGCTGCATTTTCTGGGATATCAGATATACCCAATGTAGAGTATGTAGAGTCTACATTGTAGACCGTGTAGAAAGAAGACGATTCCGAAAAGAGTTATAAATACATACATATGTATGTATGATTAAAGCCCCGTCCACACGTCCCTAATATCTAGCGCTCCACTCAGTTCTGAGTAGTAAGACCAGCCTTACGTGAAAAGTTCTCCACCTCGCAATTCGTTGCCAGACATTTCCCTCTCACTCGCACTCAGTAACACCCAAGGACTACATATGGACATGTGTTCGACGACATCCCTTATCGCCTGGGTGTACGAGGCAATACAGCAATATAATTTGAAAATGACAGGTATAACGGCCAGCAAGTAAGGGCACTCAAGAAAAGCGTATAGCTTGATCATACACTGACAAAAATTTCGAAGCTAATTAAATTACAGACAAATTTCCAAAATACACTGAGAATATTCTCCTAAACAGAGTACATATGTATGTATGTATATATACTACATGCATATCGACGCCTTTTTGCGATATGATTTAAACGCCAAAAATTAAGAGGGCCATAATATGTAACTGGATCTATGAATTTATCGCCCTGCCCCCCAAAAAACAAATGCAATCACAGTCTTTCAGTCGAGCTTAGTGGAATACACCTTTAGACTGTGATATAAAAAATCCTCAAACTACTTTCATATGTATATTATGTACATGCATACGATTTCATGTGATCAGCGATGTCCAGCTATTTTTGTAATTTAAACTTTAAATTTTAAGTGAAGTTCTGGTTTCAGACGGTACTTGAGATCGTGTAAAGGTTACTCTGTATACCATATTTGTATCAATATTGTTTAAATAAAGATATTAATTTTACACAGCTTGGCTCATAATCAAATGGCTTTCATTGGAACGATCGATCCGAAGGCTTCACATAGGCTGTATCCAAAATAGCGTGTCTCTAGCGAATCTTTTTTGAAAGGACAAGTGGCTTAAAACAAAAATGTTCTTCTTTATTAGCATAAAACACAACTTGGAAACTATTTATCATTAAGAGCGTAGGTAGTCACAAATTAATTAATATATTTATATATATATATAGCCATGCTGCTTTTTGTCTGTATGTGTGTGTGTCGAGGTCTGTGTTTAACCTGAGTACGAGCCCACCAGTCCTCCTGGGCTATCCAAAAATGAGTTCAACTGGTTTTTACATAAAAATAATAATTGTGTAGTGTAGTAGTTCTGTGGAAACAAATTGAATTAGAGCAAAACAGCTGCTGAAGAAGGACGAGGTGGTTGTGAGAGGGCTGTGGATCGTGCCAGTGTGTGCCAATCACCGGTGGCGTCTCTCTCGCTCTCGATCCCGCTCCCGATCGTCGGGGTGATCGTTGTGTCGACTCTTGCTACTCCTCTCCGAACCGAAGCCACCTCTCCCGGATCCCCCACTGTCTGCGCCACCGCCACCAGCATCTCGTTTGCGGTCGTGACGCTCCGAGCGATGGCGATTGCGGCTGGGACTTCTGCTTCTGCTTCGGCTGCGCGAGTAGTGTCTGTGCTTGTGCTTTTTCTTGTGCTTGCTGCGTTGGCGGTCGTGATCCTTCATCCGGTCACGGTCATGTTCACGATCCTTTATCCGGTCCCGTTCCCGGTCCACAGACGTGTAGTAGGGCATAGGTGCCGATGGCAGCGCCGGTGGAACTTCATAGCCTCGACCTCGTGCATACGACGAGCTCGACGAGGTGGCATAGTGGTCGCGATCATCGTGATCATTGCGGTAGTTTATCGGTGGATAGCCTCCGACTCCATGACGAGAGCCGAAGCCGGCCATAGGCTGTCCACCGCCACGACCGCCGCCGCCTCCCCGGTCTCCCCCAGCGTGACTGTGACCACCACCATTACCGCTCTCATGGTATTCCTGGTAGTCTTCATCGGGGCCACCAGCAGCAGCGGTCGCAGCCGCAGCTCCAGCCCCACCAGCCGGGGGAACCGTGACCGGTCGTCCCGAGCTCAGCTGATTATGGGTGATGCCCTGCTCGCGGCAGTAGTCTCCAATTTTGCGCTCGATCTGCTTCTGTATGGGCACGGGTATGCGCGGAAATAGCGTGGAGAACCAGTCCAGCTTAGTCATAAACTGGTACACCATCTGGCCAATGGTCATGACCTGACGATGGAACGAAAAGAGAACGTTTGAATTGGGATTCGTAGACTGGGTGACAGTGGGTAACGTGTGATTGGTGGCTCATACAGTTGACTCACCTGGCCGCCGCCTGCCTTCACATCAATCTCCTCCTCGTCCTGCAGATAGTCCTCGTACCAGTCATACAAGTCCCCTGGTGGCTGTGTGTAGCGCAAGTACATGAACCCTTCAATGGAGAAGAAATGGTCATTATATGTCACGTTTCATTGGCATCATTTTGTAGGAGGGCCAAGGTTTTGAAGAGGGGGCAGGGGGGAAAGGGTGGGGTCTGTTTTTGCTTAACAGGAGCAGGAGCAAGCGACGGCATGTGACGGCTGAACTCATGCGACTTACCAACACCTACCTAGTGCCCGTATGTAGGCCGAGTCTGTGTGATTGAGCAGTCCGTTGATCTGCTTGCGCGTCAGACGCAGGGTGTACAGCTTGTAGAGCAGACAGTACGCGGTGGACACAATCCCGCCCGCTCCAACGCCTCGCACCTGAAAGGGGCAATGGGAACAGAGAATGAGCCACCATTGCGCCAGAAGAGCAAACGAGGAGCATCGCCAACGATTAGCGCTACATTTCATAAACAACTCACACCGCCGCACATGCCGGTCTGTCCGGAGGTCTTGCGGGATCCGCGCTCCCATGGCTCCATGTGCTTCACCTGGTAGTAGATCTCGTCAACGACCTCGTGGTAGGTTTTCAGTTTAAACAAGTGCACTGTTGGGGGAAACAGGAAAAGGCGATCAAATAAAACTCGTACTGGTAGTGGGACACGCAACGCACACTCCCTCCTACCGGACACGCACCTTTGAAGTAGCTGGAACTTTGGATGTTGGCGAGGATCAGTGGATTCAGGTTCATTGAAGTCTCGTTGCCCCAGAAAGGTAGCGTGTTGTGCTGTTTGCCGGCCTTCTTTCCGCCAACGCCTGCACCGCCGCCACCGGCCGAAGATGACGCCGAATACTCTGCCAGCGTTAAAGGGAGTCAGAGAGAGACGCGACCGTCAGTTAGCAGATAATGCGGCGATGGGAGCCATCTCTGGCTAGCATTAAAACTCACCTTCGTCCATTCCTGCTGCCAGTCTGCACTTTAAAACATTAACTCCGTAATTTTCATGCAGTTTGTGCGCGCAAAATGGCCAAGCACACACGATTTGCCAAACGTTTGCGAGCGTGAGAAAATGCCTGAATTGGCGATATGTATGCGTTGCTTATCGCAGAATGTCAGAGCTTATCGATATAAAAGGCGCGCACATATCGCTTGAAATCAGTATGGTTTTCGAGAATTATCTGTTATATCTGTTATATTAAATGCATTTTATGTCAATGCAGTTCTTGTAAAAATGTTCCTGAAAGTTATAATGCTGCAATTCAGTTGGGACATTCGTGTTCGGATCCATTGAAAGCAAGCGATATATGTTAGACTATCGCTAGCTATCGTCTTTCAAATATTCTAGTTTAAAGGGAAAATATTTGATTATTTGGTGGAACAGAGAAATATTATCTCTGGAATACTATATTTTATTTGTATATATGTAGTGGAAAATTACGTGCTGTTAACGATGAATCGAAAAGAGTCCATCTCTATTTGTGAGAAGAGCAGCTGAAGTGCAGCCCTTCCGATAGGAGCGCATATCGGTATATCGGCGGCTTGCCACCATCTCTAGCGCCTGTAGTAATTATCCTTTGAGCATAGCGAAAACCCTCAAGTTCAATCAGCTTTAGCTTGCAAGTCCTGTGTCCTTAGTTAGGGCACAGCCGTATAACATCTTGTGGAGGACACAACCTTGGTCAAACCATCGGTAAGGGCCGCCCAGACCACTCAAAGGCCCCAACCAAGCCCAGGACTCTGAAGGCTAGCTGCGCGAAGGTGTCCCGTCCGGCAAGTAAAACACGGGGGGAACGGGGACCCGGGAACGGCGACCTTCATATTAAATAATACATGTACATACCTTAGCGTGCGTACGGGGCCAGTGTGCGTGCGTTTGTGTGTGTCCGCGCGGTCGTGTGTGGGTGCATTGGAAGTCCAAGAAGATATCAAATAAAATAAAATAAAATAAAATAAAAGAAAACACACAAAATAATAGGCAGTGATGCAAACAGTTTGAATAAAAGGTATTTTGCTGCAAGCCCAAACCAAAGCCAACCAAGTAAAAAAAGGGCATTGCAGTAAGGCTAAAATGCAACACCCGCTCCCCTGTCCTGCTGCATGCGGACGTGGGTGGCATAGCGGCGCACTCTAAACGCAAGCGCAGACCATCAGCCGAGCAAAACTAGCAAACATCCCACAGTCACGGCCAGGGCCACGGCCAATGCGAAGGTGAAGCCAACAACACCATCACGAAGAGCGACACCGACACCGAACACCGACTAGAAGGAGAGAACGTAGCATTGAAGGAAGGAAGGACAGAGGTTCAGGGTCATGGTCAAGCAGCTGTAGAGCCAGAGATTGCGACCATGTCGAGCGAATCGTCAACGGAGAGCGACAGCGAACTGTACGACCCGCTGGCCGAGGAGCTGCATAATGTGCAGCTGGTCAAGCATGTCACCAGGGAGAACATCGATGCCCTGAACGCCAAGTTTGCCAATCTCCAAGAGCCGCCGGCCATGTACTTAATAGGTGAGTGGGCAGGGCTGAGCAGCCCATTCATATAAAAATAATTCTTATGTACGTTTTTTTGGATTGCAGAATACCAGGAGCTCACGTCGAAGCTGCATGAGCTGGAGGCCAAGGAGCACGAGCTGATGGAGCAGCTGAATGCGTTGCAGCAGGAGGACGATGGCATTCAGAGTGCGGCGGACCTACAGCAGCAACGCAACTTGGCGGATAGGGATCAGCCGCACTACCAGAACCAGACGCAGATCCTGCAGCAGCAGCGGCAGCTGGCGCGAGGACCTTTGGGCTACCATGGCAGCGACTTGACCGACAGCCTGATGTCGAATCCGGGCTCCGGTAGCACCAGCCAGTGCGGCACGCTCACCCGCCAGCCCAAGATCCTGCTGCGGGCCCATCTGCCCAATCAGCAGCGCACCTCGGTCGAGGTGGTCGCCGGCGTGCGACTCTGCGATGCTCTGATGAAGGCGCTCAAGCTGCGCCAGCTGACGCCGGACATGTGCGAGGTGAGCACATCGCATAGCGGGCGACATATCATACCGTGGAACACGGACATTGGCACGTTGCATGTGGAGGAGATATTTGTGCGGCTGCTGGACAAGTTCCCCATTCGGACGCATACGCAGCATCAGATCATACGCAAGACATTCTTCTCGCTGGTCTTCTGCGAGGGCTGCCGGCGGCTACTCTTCAGCGGGTTCTACTGCAGTCAGTGCAACTTCCGCTTCCATCAGCGGTGCGCGTCCCTGGTGCCGATGCTGTGCCAGCCCTTCCCCATGGACAGCTATTACCAGCTACTGCTGGCCGAGAATCCGGACAACGCCCTCGGGTTTACCGGACGCGGCACGGCCGTCCGATTCAACGTGAGTAGCCGCAGCCGTAGCCGGCGATGCAGCAGCAGCGGGAGCAGCAGCAGCTCTAAACCTTCTGCAAACCATCGACAGGGCCGGCCGCCTCGCATTAGCCAGGACGACCGCTCCAATTCCGCTCCCAATGTGTGCATCAATAACATCCGATCGGTGACCACTGAGGTGCAGCGCAGCCTCATAATGCACGCAAGGCCGCCATTGCCGGTAGGTGCACACTTTCCTCCCTCTCCCTTCACGCCTTGAACCGTATGTATATGTGTATGTGGTTTTGTTTTTTCTTCTGCTCCAGCAGCATCCCTGCACGGATCACTCGAACTCGACCCAGGCCTCGCCCACGAGCACTCTCAAGCATAATCGACCCCGTGCCCGATCCGCCGACGAGAGCAACAAGAATCTGCTGTCGCGCGAAGACAAGAGCTCCGAGGAGAATTGGGTATGGCAAAGCAGGAAGAGAAATATGTTATGTTTATTTAATGGATAATTGAAATTTCCCCCGTCCATCATTTGCAGAACATTAAGGCGGAGGAGATACTAATTGGACCGCGCATTGGTTCCGGCTCCTTTGGTACCGTTTATCGGGCCCATTGGCATGGCCCCGTGGCCGTCAAGACCCTTAACGTTAAGACGCCCAGTCCCACCCAGCTGCAGGCCTTCAAGAACGAGGTGGCCATGCTGAAGAAGACGCGCCACTGCAACATTCTGCTCTTCATGGGCTGTGTGTCGAAGCCATCCCTGGCGATTGTCACCCAATGGTGCGAGGGCAGCAGCCTCTATAAGCATGTCCACGTCAGCGAGACTAAGTTTAAGCTGAACACGCTCATCGACATTGGCCGGCAAGTGGCCCAGGGCATGGACTATCTCCATGCCAAGAACATCATACACAGGTGAGTGGAACTGCAACTACTCAAAAATAAAAGATAATATTGCACGTATGTATGTACATATATGGATGATGATGGGATTAATCGGCTTTCGTTTCCTTGACTTTCCCTGCAGAGACCTGAAATCGAACAACATTTTCCTCCACGAGGATCTGTCGGTGAAGATTGGCGATTTCGGACTGGCTACAGCGAAGACCAGATGGTCGGGCGAGAAGCAGGCCAACCAGCCGACGGGCAGTATTCTATGGATGGCACCTGAGGTGATACGGATGCAGGAGCTAAATCCCTACTCCTTCCAGTCGGATGTGTACGCCTTCGGTATTGTGATGTACGAGCTGCTGGCCGAGTGCCTGCCCTACGGTAACATCAGCAACAAGGATCAGATCCTGTTTATGGTGGGACGCGGCCTGCTGCGACCCGACATGAGCCAGGTGCGCTCCGATGCCCCACAGGCACTGAAGCGCCTGACCGAGGACTGTATCAAGTACACGCCCAAGGACAGACCGCTCTTCCGCCCGCTGCTCAACATGCTCGAGAATATGTTGCGCACGCTGCCCAAAATCCATCGCAGCGCCAGCGAGCCCAATTTGACGCAGTCCCAGCTGCAGAACGACGACTTCCTCTATCTGCCCAGCCCCAAGACGCCGGTGAACTTTAACAATTTCCAGTTCTTTGGCAGTGCTGGCAACATCTAATTTGGGGATTCGCAACGAGGCGAGGCGTGGCGTAACGTGGCGTGGCTGCTGTACCTGTACTTACAAAACCCTGAAAATTCCCTGAAGCAATGAAAAGGGGGATGCCTATCCAAAGTGATCTTTAACTGTTTGTTTAACTGTTTTTTTTCTCTTGGTTTTATTCCTTCCTGTACATAACTCGTCCCGTGTGAGCGAGAGACGGAAAGCGAGCGAATCAGAGGGAGACGGAGACAAAGGACGGACGACTCAGACATTGAATCAGACGGAGACGGAAGACGAGTGACGGTGGACGGAGGAGGGTGTCGAGTGTCTCGTCTCTCTCGCACATGATGATAAGTGGACGTGGACGGACCAAAAAATACCAATACCTCTGTGCTGCTTCTGCTTATTCTTCCAAACACCACCCCCTAACCCCCGAACAAAAACTGATAAACGTGCATTTCTGTTACTGTTAACTGCAACGCCCATGTGTATATACCTTGCAACATAATTTATAAAAGTTAGGCCCCACAAACTAAACTAAAACTATGTAAACTAGCTGATCCACTAGCGATTACATTAAACACATAATACATACAATACTACAAAACAAAGCTTGTGGCTTGTAGTTTATTTAATCCTTCGCGTGTTGCATCCTCATTATAATGGAATACTGTGGCATTCGAGGCTGGGAGCTGCTGCCGCTGGACTTGGGGCACACGCACATCAAAAGCATTCCTTCCAAGGCATAGGATCACAGGAAACATACACAATACATATGTATACTATAACAAAGCTGTTTATTCATTTCACAGTCTGGGGACGGGGACAACAATAAGGACTAAACATAGCGACTGGCGATGGCCAGCACCTTGGTGTAGTCGGCACCCTTGGCCAGTGTCTTCTCCTTGAGTATCGTCCGCAAGATGGTGGGTATCGGTACATGGATGCGTGTGCCCAGCGGTGTACCATTGTCGTCGATCAGAACTAGGTTATTGCTGTCGAATTTTGGCTGCTTGGGCTTCTGGTTCTGCTTGAGACCCACCAGTATGCCCTTCTTCATCTGGCCCTTGATGGCCACCAGCACTTTGTCACCAATGTAACCGACGCCGCGCTTATTGTACACATGGATGCAGCGCGGCGGGCGACCCTCCGCCATTGCACGCTTGCCCAGTTCACTGTTGTCCACCACCCGGAGTCGGGCCAGCTTCCGGATCTCACAGCAGGCCGGCGTTGTGTGAAGCAATTGCTGCTGGCAGGTGGTGGCACTGGTACTAGCCGTGATTGTCGCCACTGGCAGCGTGTTGGTCAGACGCCTCAAGATTTGTAGTGTCATTCTGGTGTCGTTGTCCGTTCGCTCTTTTTCTGTTTTTAAATAAATCCGAATTATATTATACAATTGGCTGTAGGGATGTTGATACATCAATGTATCGATATATATTTTTGGGTGATATTCTGGTGCGATCATAAAAGTATCGATACGGAATTTGGCATTAAATTACCTTATTTTATTTTAGACCCAAAAATATTTTAGAAAAGAGGGCGATTTTTTTATTTTTTATGTTTAATTCATCAATAGGAGAAATTATACAATTGGTTGTATCGTTGTCTCGAGAGAACAATCATCCACAGAACAATCGTTATCGAGCTGCACATAAGACCGGTGCTGCCAACATTTTCGAAGATTTTTTTTGTTCAATTTTGCCCTCTAATAAAGAATTTTTAATTCCTATTCTATGTTTACGTTAGTTTTAAATCGACCGTTTTAGTACTGTGCCACTTTTTATACAACTTTGTTTTTTTTTAAGCTGTGTGATATTCTTGGCTAAAAATTCTGTGAAGAGAGAGATAGCACGATAGACAAAACGAAAAATTAGCTTTTGTAGTCTACCAGCTTTCAGTCGAATAACTGAGGCACGACATGTGACAAAATTATGTTTTCCAGCCCGCACAGACACCAAGCTAGCAAACGTACAACAAAGCTGCCAGCTCAACTGGAAAGCCAACTGGACGCATACCCTTCTCTCGCTCTGACAGCAGGCATTTCCCATAAGGCTATCTTTTTTTTTGCAGCTAGTCAGTTAGCAAAGTCTAATTGGTATTAGCTAAAAGCTATTAGCAAAGTCTAATATATAGAACCATTATAAATTTATTTTAATTTATATTTAGTACTTTGATATTGTACATTTATTTATTTGGGGTCAGGAACCGCTTGCAAACCGTGCCGAAAAACAAATTGAACAACAAGAACGAACTAAGGAACAAAAGTGAGCTACTGAAAAAAAGAAACGGATGAATAAAAATAAGAGAGAAGATCAAGGCTAGTTTATTTTGTTCGTTCCTTGCAGTATATAGTACCTATGGTTTTGTTTTGTTTGGAAATTTAACAACACTGATAATACTCGCATGGAACCGCCTTTTTGAGGTGCATCAAAAAACTTATTTTTCTTCGTGCGACGTAGACTTAAATCGAACACCAATCCGCTTAACTATTTTTGAATTCAGTGATTCAATTAGTCGTCAAAAAAGATAGGAAATCAGGAGCTAAACAAAGAAGCAGCGGAACGGCATAAAATGGCCCAGACAGAGGGCATGAACGCCGCCATGACACTTTAGCCACAGGCTTCGTCGCAATCAAACCACGCGCAAGTGGCAAACAGTTACGAAGAGAGAATTGATAATGAGGATGATCAGTCCTTCTCCTTCTGTGACGAGGTAGCTTCAGAAAATTCGTTCTTCCGTTATGATCAGCGTTCAACTGAGGACGAGACATTCGCATTCACATCCGAGGAGTAGGAGTCACTATATGGGAACTGATTTACGAAGCAGCTGTCATCATATGAGGTAATCCAGTCATCCGGACCCGGTGAGGAGCAGTTACCCTCGGAGATCCAATCACCCAGGTACGCGGAGGAGCTGCTACCAGTTGAGGGCCGGTCATCCGGATTTGAAGAGCAAAGGCCACCGTGGGAGATACAGTCATCCGGTTCCGCGGAGTTGTCCTCCCGCCATGGAGAGGTGGAGTCGGTGGTGATCGAGGTGTCCTCCTCCTCGATTCACGGCTGCCGTCCGATTCCCAAAGACTCCATACTCTATTTTTTTAACAATAGCGACCCAGCCAATAAGACAGCCGAAATTAAGGACAAAGAGAACGCACGGAAACTTTTGCTTTTGGGATGCCCACGCCTCCGGTATACTACGATGAGAATCCGATAGTGATCTCCTCGGACGAGGAGCAGAAGAAGGTCGCACAGATGTCGCTAAAACGACGCTCATCAACCCCGGAGAAAGGTGGCAAAATGTCCAAACTGACTAACTTTATCGCAATCGATTCAGAAGAGGAGCAGCCCATTGTGTTACCCTCGGACGAGGAGTGCAACGAATCCCTTTGAATTTCCCGCCTGTGGGCGCGACGTTGACCGAGCGCTAGAAACTGTCTGCTCAACAGAGCGCTCTCAGCTCAACAGCGGAAAATTTGCGCTTAACAGCACACAATCATGTGGTGGCATTTGACAGTTTATATTTAAATATTAAAACGCAGGTTCTGTAATGTTTTTTAGTTTTATTTATTCACTTTAATACAATGCCATATACATATATATATATATATATATACAGGCGCGCTAAATGCCATTTTCTGCAGCGGCTATATGTACGTGTGCTTAGATATAGTTTATTTATTTTATTAGAATTATTAACACTGCTGTTATCGCTTTTCGCTTCGCTTTTTTGTGCTATTAGTTTTGGGTTTGTGTTTGTTTGTTTGTTTCGACACGACTAAGTAGACAGACCAGTCCCATTGGTTAGAAAATTGGTTACTATAATTCACTAAGTCATACAAAATAATATATTATAGGCATAATAACATATTTATATATTTATATTATATTTAAATATTTTCCTTTGTTTCGTTTCCGCTCTTTCCTTTCACTTTCCACACTTACACTCTTTTTCTTCGTTTTCTTCTTTTTTTTTTGGGTTCTTGTGACCTAATGACTAAAACAAAAGTGTAAAAAAAAAACTACATATTTCATAACAAAAACTAAGATTAGTTAAAAAAAATCAATGTGGTACGGTACACAAAAAAAATACGGTTTAAAAAAAAATAAACATTCTCTACTTCATCTTTAGATATACATACAACATCTGCGAATTCGATCCGAGTTTCCGGATTATTTACAATGGAAAAATCAAAAGAAATCAACAGTAAATTTTGAGGCTGATTTACTGCTAACGATAATCGATAAAACAAAACAATACAATTTGAGCGCTTCCTCTTTTGTGTGACCGCTCAGGAGCGGTTGAGCTCGTCGCGCTTGAAGTTCCGTATCGCGTCCAGCAGCTGGGAGCGCGGATCCTCACTGGATTGACTGCGTCCTGCTCCTGTCGCTGCCTTCAGAGGCTTCAGTGTCACTCCCATTTGCGGTGGAGGCGGTGGCGGCGGTGTCGCTGTCGCTGTCGCTGTCCTCGCTGCAGCCGCTGGACCGCTTGTGGATCGCAGCTTCACCTGGAACTTGGCTGTCTGTGGCTGTGCTTCGGGCTCCTGGAGCTTCAGCTCCACCGTGCTGGTCTTTAGCACGGTCATCTGGTTGGACTTAGACGACGCGAACAGGCTTCGGTGCTGGGACTGGAGCTGCGGTTACAGATGGCGCTGGCGCTGGAGCTGCAACCTGCGCTGGTGCTGGTGCTGGTGCTGGCACTGGCACTTCGACTGCAGTGGTAACTGGAATTGGAGCTGAAGCTGGGAGGGGAGCTGGAATTGAGGCTACAGCTGGACTTGCAGACCTCCCATTGACTGAGACACGAACACTGAGGGCCTGCTCCTGCTCCAGCTGCTCCCTGGCCAGCATGCGCTCCTTGAAGCCCGTCCGCCTCAGGGTGTTCTGTCCGAATGGCGCTGGCGCTGGAGAGGGATCGACTGGGGCCTTGGTTCTCTCGAGGGTGGAAACAGGCCGTGGCAGTGAGTTGTTGGTCGCCTGAGTGGAGGCGACTCCACCACCACCACCTGCGGGCAGGGTGAAACGATTGCTCTTTGCGGGTCTTGGCAATGTCGAGGATTGAACTTGGCCTGCGGATGTGATGGGCTCTGTAGAGGCGGCCTGTGTTTGTGCTTGAGATGGGGATGCGGGAGCTGGGACTGGAGCAGGGACTGCTGTTTGTGCTGCTGCTTTTTCCGATACTGCTGACGCTGTGACATCCCGCAGAGGCTTGACTGTGATGGGTACATGGTACTCCTTGCGCTGCGGTATACCCATCCTGAGCATTGGCGATGCCACCTCGATGGTCAGTTTGACTGGAGACGGTGCGGGGGTGGCTCCTGCTCCCCCGAATATGTAATCGCCCTCGTTCTTGATGGCCACCTGCGACTTGGGTCTCTCGCTCCATGCCCCAAAGTTAATGTTGGGTGGGCCCGAGTAGCGATATTGGGGCGGAAGGGGTTTCGCAGCTGGTGGGTCTGTCTTTACGGGCGATGTGACTGTGATTGTGTCCGCGAAATGGTCTATCTGTTTCTGTGTCTGGACTGGTCGCTGCTGCTGCTGCTAGTTGGTCGCAGGGCGACGGGGCTGACTGGAGAGGCGGTCGTGGCGCGATTGGGTATGGGCGATGCCTGCTCCTTGATTGCTTTGGGCGGAGGTGTCACGGTGACTGGTGGTGACTGTTCCTTGGCCGGGCTGGCTCTCAACGAAGCTGGAGAGGGCGGTTTCTGGACTGCAGAAGCACTCGGTTCACTCACAGCCTTAGCAGGAGCGGCGACTGCTGCCTGCACGGTCTTGGCTGTGGGTGGAACCAACTGCTGCTGCTGCTGCTCTTTCACGGCCTTAGCTGGGGGAGGCGACTGCTCTTTGAGGGCCTTGACTGGAGGAGGAGGAGACTGCTGTGGTGTTTCTGTGCTTCCAGCTGCTGTCATTGATCGTTTGGCCTGGCCAGATGCCGAGGGTTGGCGCTCCAGCCTGGCGACTGCTGTGGGGCTGCTATTTGGCTGATCTAACAGCAGGGCCGCCTGCTCCACCTCCTTGGCGGGGGATGCACTGCCAAGCCCGCCGCTGCTCTCGGTCAGGCTATTCTGGCGGGAGTTCAGGATGGTCTTAATCACCTCGAAGCTCTGCAGCGAAGGCGTCTCCCCTATGCTCAGCTCGCTGGAGGAGCGCCTGGGACCGGCCGCGTTTCCGAGTCCATTCTGATCGATTTTATTGAGGGATATGTGCGATGAGCTGCGCTGGCTCAGGGTTCTGGACGCCCTCTCCTGGGCCGCTGCCGCCTGGAAGGAGTCAGACCGACTGACCTTCTTGGCGGTCGTGCTGGACGTGATCGTTGTGGACTTGGCCGTGGCAATGCTGAAGTTGGTCAGACGGTTCGGCTTTGCCGCCTCGATTTCCGTCTGTTCGGGCTGCTTGCGGATGAGCGTGTCGAGGCGCTGCTGCTGGATGATGGCCGACAGCTCGTCCACGATCTCGTCCAGCGGCGAGCCGGGGCTGGTGGCTCCGCTTTTGGTCGCTCCGCGGGCATGCGGATCCGAGAAATCCGGCGGCGGAGATATCGGCACCGAGTAGTTCCACGAGGAGAGCGACGTCTGTTCGCTGGCGCTGGTCGGCGTGGCCAGAGTGGAGGTCGCCTGCTGCTCCCCCTCCTCGTCGTCGTCCTCCTGGGCGGCTGCTGTGAGAACGGCCAGCTCGGCCAAACTGTTGGCCAGCGGCTGCTCTCCCTTGACGGATGTCTTGCAGAGCTTGAAGTTGTACACCTTGATGGCCTCGTCGTCCTCCGAGCTGGACTCCATGTGGGACTTTTCGGGCCCCTCTGGCTCGGGCGAGGGTGAGGGTGCGGGCTCTCCGATGCCGGAATCTGCCTGCTTGGAAGCAGCATCGTTGTCGTCCTCCTCCGTGGCACTGCCCAGGGAGCGGGGCTCCGGTGTGGGCGTCCGGTTGAGCAGCACCTTGGACACGTTCTGGGACACATTTATGGGAGCTCCAATGGCTCCAACAGCTGGTGGAGAGCTGGTCGGCAAAGCGGGAGTGGGTGTGGGAGGGAGAATGGGTGTGGGTGTGGCAGTGGGTAGCGGGGTGGTGATCCGCGGTGCTGGCTGCGGTGTGGTGGGCGCCAGCGTCTCCGACAGCGAGTTTGTGGTGGAGGCCAGCGATATGGTGTCTGCTCCGGATGCGTTTCCACTGCCGTTTCCAGCGAGTGCACCCGCGAACCCGGAGGGCGGGGCCGGGGCCGCTTTCTTCTTGATATTCAAAAGGCGACGGCGGGGCGTCGGCTCCGGTCCCTGGCCCTGTCCTTGGCCGGAAAGTGTGCTCGTAACCGAACCCCTTACCGGGCCCGAGGCTCGCTTCAGGTCGAGCGTGGCATAGTGCCCGTCGGCGTCCGCTGCATCCACCGGGGATGCCTTGGCGCTGTTCCCATTGCAGTCCAGCAGCTCCGGCGGTTGGCTGGACAGATTCGGCGTGGACATGCACAGCTGTGGACGCTTCACGATCACCGCGTACGCGGGCTCTGCCGCACTCTTTGGGGCTCTCTCCGGCTCCGACTCCGGTACGGACTGCTCCGGGATGCAGTGCTGGCTGGGCGGGCGTGGGGCCACACGCTTCTTGCGCGGCGGCGGGGCCATCACTTTGGCGGGCGGGGCGGGCACAAAGACGGGCGTGCGCGTGTAGTTCATGCCGGTGGAGTCCATGGAGTTAAGCGAATTGGTGGAACTGTAGGGACTGGGCGTCTTGGCGGTGACCTTCGAGTTGCGGCTGCTGCTAAAGTCCGAGCTGCTGCTCAGCGAGTCGCGGGCGGTGCCCGTGCGCTGGAACTTGGCCATGGCATCGCCGTTGAAGCTGTCATAGGACTCGGACTTGTGGCACAGTCGAATCTCTGAGAGGCCCACAGTCCCGATGGTCGACTCGCAGCTGTACACCTGACTAGCATCCACTGTGGCACGAGAGAAACAGAGAAAGAGAGAGAGAGAGCGAGAGATTTATTTGGTGGGGATTCTCTTTTGGGCGGCCATTGCTTGGACCTCACCTGGACTCCGGAACTCGTACTTGTTCAGATCCAACTCCTTATTGTCGCAGACCATCTCGAGGAGCTTGCGCAGCGGCACCCGTGCCCCCAGCCGGGCCACATACAGCTGGTCCTTGGGCAGCAGCACAGTGATGCGGAAGGTCTGCTCGAAGGGCGCACTGCTGGTGACCGCCGGTATGGGCGTGATGCGATTGTACTCCAGCTGACTAGCCTCACTGATTTCCATCTCCCTGGACAGATGGTGCAGCTGTGTGGTGGACTTGGACAGATTCCCAATCGATGCGCTGTTGTTGCTGCCTGATTTGTCTATGGATATGGAGATATATAATTAAAATTGCAGGACAAACACAGTCCCAGGGACTAGCTGTCGGGTACTTACCCTTTTTGCGGCCAAACCAGCGATTCAGTGTGGAGAAGCCGCCCTTCATGTTGCTCATTCTTGGCGGCGGGGGCGTGGCGTAGATCACACTTTTTCGTTGCCTCCTCTTCTCAATCTGTCACCTTGTGGCGATCCTTTTTTGCCAATTTCCAATTTCCAATTTCCAATTGTGGTTCCTTTTCTCCCTCCTGTTCGTTTGTCGTTTGTGCTTTCCTTTCGCTTTCTTTTGTTTCTTTTGCTGAACGTGGGTGGTGGTTGGGGGGGACGTGAGGTTTCGTAATATATTCCTAGAGCATGCTAGAAAATGGCGTGCGATTTGTGCGCCGTGAAATCTGCAAGTGAAAAGCAAAGGCGAAAATTCAACAACTGCCTGATTACAAAACAATGAATGGCCCCGCAGACCCCGCAGGCCCCACACACACCCAAATGCCAAGACCAAGACGCCTTCGGGCCTCAGTCCTCAGGCCTCAGGCGCTTATCGCCGCCGCCTGATAACACGGCTGGGGTTGTGGCACTGAGGCATGAGAGGGGGCTTATGGTTTCTTTGGGTGTTTTTTTTTTGTTTTTGTTTTTTTTATCAATGCGTCTCATGGCTAACGCACGCACGAACACCCTGCCCACACACACACACAAAATAAGGTATAGAAACTCACATGTGTATGAGGCCGGTGCCAGGAATACTACCCATTCCATGATTTATTCTAGAAAATGTGTCCCAAAGTCTACTTGATACTATACTACTATGATATACTATATTTATTATGTATTATTTAGAGCAGATTCTCGTCGACATCTACGCGAGATAATTGTTTTTCAAGCCGAACGAACTGTCATTGCTCGGAGATTGATTCACTGACAAGCGATGGCAGACAGCTCTACTTAATGCCGGAGAAAATCCAGATTTCCCGTTTTGGTATATTATAGGGTATCCCAATGGTCGGTATATATGGGTTCGGTTTTTTATAAACTATTTGCTTTTATCAATTTCATTTTCGTTTTATTTGTTTTCTGCGCCTGGCTTAGTGCTTAATTGCTCATCGGCCTGGCTATATAATGGCTAACACTCACAAATGTCTATATGTAGATACATATGTACATATGTACATATATACTCATATGACGGGCGATAAGCTCTTAAGAAAAATCGAAATAGTCGACGCTAAGCGACTTGCAAGCGGATCGGAGTGTTCTCTGTCGCGTGCGTTTTTCATTTGCACACAATGCAAAGCGCGAAGGCGACTCTGATTGGGTGGGGGGGGTGGATGTGGATGTGAAGGGGCATCGCTATTGTCTATTGTCTAATGACACAGTTAGATAGAGAGTGCAACAGTGTGCGGCATGGCCATGCAAATTACCGGCAATTGCTGCCTGCACACACACACAAATGCTATATACAATATATTTGCATACTAATTTCGTGACTGCCTAATGGACAGTGCGTTCCACAGACGTAATACTAGCACACAGGTTCCAATCGGAGGCACATTAATCGTGTAGAAATTTCCCATAAGCGAACGGCCACGAACAGAAAACATTCCGGCGATGGAGAGCACGCGAGGTTTCGGCATTTGTCGTGTTTTACGGATTTTTGGAAGGAATATTATATATTATATACTGCTTCAAAACAGAAAAACACAAATTTCAAGTCACACGCGAACGTGGGATGAACGGATCCCATTGAAAATAGTTTCAGCCGATAAATAAGATTATTGGATGGATATATTAGATCTTTTTTGTATTTTGGTGTATTTAATCCCTATATTAGAGCTCTTTAAAATACATACTCTTCAAATACGCGTTGTGGTTCTGAACTGTATTATAGTCATGAAACGTACTGTATGGCCATATGCATAGGCACGTGCCCCTCCCACCTTGGAGCCAATCGATTTGCGTTTACTTTTTAATGAGAAGCTCCAACTAATTAGCCCCAACTATTAGTCTACCTAATTAGATTTACTCGTACAACGAAACTGGGAGTCGTCTTGAATCGTTAAGGCAGATATTTTACAAATGTCGCTCTGGACTCGAGGTACATCCAGCACCCAGCTGGGGGTTACGGGAAGATGGGGCTAGATGATACGCCCAACATACTGATGATGGTTATTTTACGAGAATATTTTTTTTTTTAAGTATTGTCTGCTCCAATCCGGGGCTGACTTTATTCCCATTGATCATACATTACTCGTCTTATAGAGCCCATGGAAACGCACAAACGAAAAGAGCACACGGATATGCCCGAGAATGCGAAAACAACATACATGTTGTGTGCACGACAAGGTATATTGCTGTTCGATTCGATTTATTTATACCTGCTTTAGGGATTTCAATTTTAATCTAAATTCAGAGCTATATTAACTCTCTTTTTAGATCTTTAACTTGAATCGCAGCTTGGATTCATGGGTATTCCTCACGTCGAGCTAAACCATGCTCTTTCTCGCCACCTGTTTTGTGGTTTATCAATTTGCGCAAAACACTTTTACAGTCAGCCACTAAAATTCCCCTTGAAATAGCCATGAGTAAGTAAAAATTCCTCGGCTATCGAGAGGCGACGATGAAAAGGTTTCTTGCCTGAAATCATCACGTTCCATGAACATGGCTTGCTTGTTGGTGTTGCCCAAAATAATGAGCTTGGCTAATAGCTAATCACACAGCAGTTGGGCAGAAATGTGTTTATTTGTGGGGCCTTTTGAACCCAGCTAATTGAAATAAAAATTTAATTGTCTTTGGATGGTTTTCAGGATGAACTTTGTACTCATTTTATGGGATCGAGAGTCATAAGATATATCCAAGTACTATCTTGCGAGCAAGTGTATCTCAAATATCTGTATTATCTTTATGGACTCTTTTTTTCAGCCAGTTGGTTTTGGCCCAGTCAGGTTGGAATTTTTCTTTTGCCCATTCATGAGCCATCATATCTATAAGTCTCCCCCCAATCAGATATGCTATAGGTACTATAACTCTGCGAGTACTATATATAGCATATACTTTATATATGTATGTACATACTATTATATAGGCCGCGAAGAATCAGGGAAGTGTAAACTGCAGCTGAACAATTAAACCTACTCGTAATTGAACTGTTTTGCTTGGATCGATTCGGGTCGGTACGGATAGCGGAGATGGTTAAGTAACACTCTCTACCTCTCGAGTGGTAAACACTCTACGCTCTACTCGAATTGTAGCTCTGTTTATAAGTAGATACTATCTAGTATAAGATGTAACGTGTCTAATTGCTGCTCTAGGGGTCAGAGCGATTCCTGTTTTTTGTTTTGTTTTGTTTTTTTTTTTAATTAGCTCTAAGTGGAATTTCATTGTCAGCACGAGGCCTTTGAAACATTGCCAACATTTAGAGAATCGCTCCAAAAGGAATTTGATAGGTATCTCTATATGATATTTTAGGTATTTTCTACTAAGACTTTGATTCATCCCAAGACCACAAGAGTTTATGCAAGTCCAATCTTGAGACGTTCCAAGATTTCTACCTTGAATCATAGTTTAAGATCTTAACTGATCATGGAAAAGTATACCTTTATAAGAGCTTCAGAGTTGGATACCCTCTGCGGTGTTATAAGAACCTAAGCCCATGCCCATAATTGTATGAAGATTTTACGACATTTCTAAATATGTGGGAGTACGAAGAAGACAATGATCCATTGGGGAGTCAATGGGGAGCCCTAGTGGTGACTGACCGTTATGTGCACAATATATTGGCAACTTTCTACCGTTATGTGTGTGCCTAAATAATTTTATGTACTGTGTATGGATGGAAAGCATTTATAAGGTCTCGAGGCAGCGCAAATAAGGCAAATCAGAAGTGCAAACAGAAGAGCCGATTCGATGGGTGGATGGATGGATGGGCGATGATTAATGGCTAACGCTGATTGGGAATGTGGTGGGGGGGTTCCGTTGCGTTCCATCATGGGATTATTTATAGGGAGATTTTTCGCTTCGTTACGTATCGTTTTTATTGCGATTTTATTCGATGGGTGACACTGACATTGAAGTTTGGCATTGCACTCAGTCGCAGTCCAAGTCTCTGTCCCCGGCTGAGAGACTGATTCAAAGTTAGGCGATGATATCATGCTGGATAACCGACGTGAGGGAATTTTATTTTATTTTTTTTGAAATTTTAGTGGCGCTCATCATTGTTTCTTTATAATCATCATTCTGCGTTGTCGCTGATGGCGAGGAGCGGAGCCTGCTCAACTAGTCAGCTATGCTAATTTCATTGGCCAAATCGTAAATTGATAAACGACCAACGACTCATACACTTGCGGAAACACCTGTGGAATGACTTTCCCAAGTCCCCGTCCCAGTCCCAGGCCCAGTTCAGCGTCTTTGCTGTGTTTGCCGATGGCTTCTGCTGTCTGACAACTTTATCTGGGAGTCACTAAGGTGGGTCGCTAAGGCCGGGGGCGGGGGCACGGGCACTGCAGCAGTTACTATCAAGCGAGCGATACGCATGACTAATCTGAAATATGCTAAACACCGCCACATCTGCTGACAGTTTTGGCTCCTTATCTAAAAAACATTCCTATGTATTTAGTATTTCAATTTGTGCCGCAATTTGAGCCGCCACTTGATTAGACCGGTACAAAGCGCTAGTTGCACGGTTCACCATGCACGTAGCATTTACCACGTTCCGCCCCCTAGGGCTATCGTGGGTCGTACGATAAGTAACAGCTGTCTATAGGTATTCGATTCGTACATACATATGTACTGTCAAAACTTAATTGAAACTTTGTACCGAGTGTCGTTGGTCTGACGTCTGTATTACTTTTGGATTGATTTGATTAGGTGGGATGGGAATTATATGTACTTATGTACATGCGTACGAGGATTGTCGAGATGATAATGAAATAGCTTGTATCGAAAAAGGAGGTGGATGAGTATGGAATATAATATCTTAGAGATGGGCTGTTTCAGGAGTTCAGATACTAAACGGGTTCTTGATTTAAACGTTATCCCAGTCGATTCCAAGAACGAATAAATCGATAAAAATCCATGAACTTCTTCAGAATTGGATTACCCGAGAATAATGGCATTATAATTACACAGAAAACGATATAATCCCACAGCTGCTATCCAAGGTGTTGGGTTCTTTGCACCACCAAACCCCCTCAAAGTCTATCCCGTTTGTGACGCTACGTGACGCG